AAATTGAAATTAATATTTTGTGTAATTTACATCTTTATTAATCCCTCATTCTTCTTTGTATGTGACTGTAAAAATACAAAAGTATCTTTATTGTGCATACTGTTTTTATTACTCTATATTTATTAATTTATTATGTCAGTTAGATAATCTGTACAGTTTTTGAAAGTGTTAAAAAAATCCTACCTTCCTTACTTTTTATCATGAAAAATCACTTAAAAAGTGAGATTTAACAGAGATTAAAGTGATTTTTCATGATAAAAAGTAAGAAAGGTAGGATTTTTTAACACTCTCAAAAACTGTACAGATTATATTAATTTATTATGTCAGTTTGATAAATAGAGTAATAAAAACAGTATGCACAATAAAGATACTTATTATAAATGTATCAACTGGGATACTATTGAACACTTTTTCAAAGGTATCCAATTAATTTGTTCACTAGTGTCTTAGTGTGGAACAAAATATTCAAATGATAACAAATTTTATGTTAAACTTACTTTTTAATATTATATCTTTAAAATTGTATAGTTTTGTGGATTTTATAAAAAAAGATACTCTGTTTGTTTGACCATTACAAGGAAAGTTAATATTAAAAAAGTGTTTAATATTTATTGAAGCATATTATATATATACAGTCAACCCCCCCTAAAACACTGTTGATTATTCTGTTTTATATGAATTCCATGTTGTACGAGTCATTTAGATTTTACAAATACATGAGCCGTTCACAGCCTGGCACACGTATTTGTAAAATCTAAGTGACTCATACAACATGGAATTCATATAAAACAGAATAATCAACAGTGTTATAGGGGGTCGACTGTATATAAGTTGTAACTGTTGACAGTATATATATATATACTGTCAACAGTTAGAAATGTATTGTTTATGTAGTAGTGGGTAACTTTTGACAGTGAGCCATAGTCTGTAAGTGTTAATAAATGAATGGTGTTAGATATGTTGTTGCAAGAATATTGTATTAAGTCTGTATATTTTATTTTTAAAAAATCTGATGATAAATCTAACTGAAGAAGGCACAGCAAAAAGTGCTGAAATGCATTTTAGATGTCAAGTTAAATGATGTATATGGTAATGGATAGTGTTATAATAAAATAATGATCTCAAGTCTCAGTGTGATAATCCCTAAAACAGGGATGTCCAGCCCGCAGGCTGCACCATGCCTACTGAACCCTAAATTTTTTATGTATATTTTCATTTCTTTTGGTAAAGAATTCTGTAAAAATTATTCTCATTTCACTGGATTCACTTTGATGTCATAATGATGTAATTCAATGGTTCTCAACCGGGGTCCACAGAAAAAAATACCGAATTGGGGGTACATGGTGATATTTTAGTGGTCTATAGGGTAATTCTATTTCAGAACAATTGTTTTACTGAGAATTAAATTTCTACAGTATATACGAGGGCAGGCTGAAAAGTAATGCACACATGCTTGTAGAACACGAACAAAAACAAATAGCAAGATCGGGCAAAAAGTACATTAAAGTACATTTCTTAAGCTTCAAAATCATATATTTATTTTTCAACATAGCCTTAATGATGACTAACACATTTCTCCCAACGTGTAACAAGTTTTTTCATTCCGTCATTGAAAAATTCTTCTGACTTTTCTCAAATCCAGGACTTGACAGCTGTCTTCACCTCATCATCTGATTACCCTTGAGGTCTCTCTTAAGTAGAGGAAACAAATAAAAATCACAAGATGCAAGATCAGGGGAATAAGGAGGGTGTGGAATCGGTTCAAACTTCAGGTTTTGCAGAGCCTCTCCAGTTGCGTGCGAGGTGTGTGGACGAGCGTTGTCATGTTGCAAGATTATTGGTGCCAGGCTGCTTCTAAAATGTCAAACTCAATGTCAGAGGTGTTTTAGAGTCTGTATGTACTGAGAAGAATTAAGCATTGCAACAAGGCGCAATGGTAATTGTCTGTGGCAGTGATCGGACTTCCACTGCGTTTTTCATCAACAATTATGGCTTTTCCAGGCTTGCAACCACAAAATTTTATTATCCATCAATTTACAATAGACCTGTCAACAGCATCGTCACCTTAAACAGCCTTTAAATGTAATTTTTTCAGCAGTTAAAAATTCGATAACAGCACGCTGTTTAACTCGCATTGACATAACACCAGAAAATGTCTCCATATTTCCGCTTCTCAAAATATATTGAATGAACACAACAACCTCAAACTGCACATGCACATAGAGGGGCAATGTTACTACCATATGCCACCTGGCACGCTTCTGAAAATCATTTCGTTTGTGCTCTACAAGCATGTGTGCATTACTTTTCAGCCTGCCCTTGTATATTGTCAATTTCTTTATTACTCATTTCTTGCATAAGGGCTAAAATATAAATTATTTAAAATATTGAATGCATATATGACATATATATCTCATTGGCAAAGGTAAAAGAGATATATATTTAGTATTTTTTTTTTGATACAATTCCTTTCTTTTTTTATTAGTGAAAAATAAAAGGTTTTTTTTTCTGTGCAATATATATGGGGTCCACAAAAAAAAACATTAAGAGGAAAAGGGGGGTGATGGGTAAAAAATGGTTGAGAACCACTGATGTAATTGGTGCTAGAAAACTGTACTACTGTATATGCATAACATACTGTTGTGAACAATTCTTTTCACGTATGAAAAACATCAAAACTGCTGAATAGGTTGAGTGATTCCCATTTAACTAAAATTCTTAGAATTAAGACTAGTACCATAAAAGCAGATATTGACAGTATTATAAAAAGAAAGCAAATGTCAAAACTTGCATTGAATTTATTTTTATTTTATGCGAGTATAATTTCTTCACTGTCAACAATACAATATTTTATGTAATTACATATATTTGTTATTAAAATTTGATATTCACATTTTGAACTTGTTAAAAACATATATTTATATAAAGTACCTTTGTGGCCTGCAGAATATATGTAAATTTCTAATTTGGCCCATTAGGGAAAGAGGTTGGACAACCCTGCCCTAAAATAACTGGAATTTTACAGTAATTATGAATTAATTAAAGAAACTGCCATATTTAAAAAAATTGTTATGTATATATTTTTTTGAAGATTTTCTGTTGATGTTAAAAAAAGATTTTTTGAAAATAATTGCAGATTCTCAACTACCAACTTGCAGACTCCTTAAAATATGTAGATCCAAGTTTAAGAATTGTGGACTTAGATTACATTGTCATCTTAGATTGATGGATTAAATTTCTAATTAGAATATGCTAATACCTTAAATATACATAATAAAACATTAATAAATGCAATATAATTTGTATTAATTACTGCTACTATATTTCAGAATAATATAAACTATATTTCATATTAATACATTTTCAGTCTTGTAATCAGATTTACAATACATTAGTGTGTTAACATGAACAGTAATCGAACTTACCCTTAAAAGTGGGAAAATTATCTTTATTTAATATTTATTTCTATAATTTTTCTTAGCTTTGTTAACTTACGTGCACCAGAGAATAAAGAGCATAGAAGGATTTGGTGGTAAAAATTTAGAAGCATTTTTTGCTTCTAAATTTTTGCCAAATCCTTCTGTGAATGGAGGCAATAATATTAATATTGAAATTAAAATTGCATCACAAATTTCTTTAATTGCACTCATTACAAAATCCAATTTCAAATTTCAAGCATCATTATGAGATCACCCAATTTGTAATAGATTGCCCAATCTGCAATCCTGAACTATGGTCATACCATAAATTAATCCTTGGTGTCATCATGCACTGTACTGTACATCATGCACTGTACTGTACATCTTGCTTGCAATGTGGTTAAGTGGTAATCTCAGATGGCATGACCTGATCATCTCTTAACCTAATAAACAATGTTATGACTTGGAATATATTTGTTATATGCTAACTCAGCATTAAACAGTGTTGTTAACCTATACAATTTTAAAGATAATAGCAGTTTAAATTATTTTTTAGAAAATTATAATTTTTTAAAAAATGTATTTATTTAATTTTTTCTACTTATCTACTTCAATTTTAATTTAAACAGCACCTTTTTTTAAACAAATTTTTATAATATATCTAGTTAATTGCCCAATTTTTAATTTCAATTTGTATTCAATAATCAGTTAATGTAAGTAGAAAAAAATTTTTATAAACATGTATGTGTGATGTAATTTGTAACTATTATTTGTTTTGATAAGATCTGTATAGAAAATAAGGACTGATGAAGGGTCATTAAGACTCAAAATGCATATCCACATGCAATAATAAAGTCTATATCAATAAGAGTTCCTTGTGCGATGTAAGTTACTGGAAAATAATCTAAAAATTCTAGGCTTAAAAAAAAAAAATCCACAGAAACTAGTAATGGAAACAATCAATTAAACCTATACAATATTTATTTTGTCTTTTAATCCAGAATAAATCTAATTGATGAATGTATCCAACAAGATTTTACTGTTTTATTACTGGATGCATTGTAAAGTGCACCTAACTTTGGATAAAATTTTATTACGTTTATCATAGTATAATCATCACAGTTCTTTTGGTAATGGTGAATGATTTGGCTAGTTTATAAAAGAAATTTAGTAAAAATCTTCTGTTTAATTTTGAATGTTTGCCAAGATTTTAATGTATAGAGAAATATAATTTGTATGGTAACCTCTTAAAACTGGACATGTAATCAGTATAACATCACAAATATATGTATAACACTGACAAACATTTTTTATACATTTTATCTACACTTTATGTGAAATTTATGTAATAAGCTTAAATTTTGTGTCTTGCTCTTCTATGTGTTTCACAGTTAGAACATTTTTGACCTGAAGAAGATCCAATTAGGATTGAAAACATTTGTCAGTGTATATATATGTTTTTCATCATTTGATTAAATGTTGGACTGGATTTTAAAAGTATTTGTGGTGTTATAGTGATATAATTTGTAATTTTAAAAGTTTCATATTTAAATGTTCTTACTTAAAATTTTATTTAATTAGAATTAACACCGCCTTCTAGTGGAGAAAATCCAGATAAAGTAGAACTTAATGAAAAAGAAACTGAAGAAAATCAATTGGCTAATGATAATATAGAAGATGAGTCAGCTGTAGATCATGAACAGGATAATAAAGAACCAGAAGTTAAAGAAAATAATGCAGATAAACATACTTCAAATATTGAATCTGAAGAACAACCAATAACATTTGATGAAAAAACTGAAGACGGAAAATATCTCTCTAATGTTCTTGGTGATATATTGGTTAAAGCCTTAACTGAAGTATCTCAGAAGAGACCGGCCGATCCAATAGGCTATCTTGCAACTTGGCTTTATCATTTTGCTTCTCGTAAATCTAAAGATAAAATAAGATCCCCAGTTGTAAATGGTACTGCAAATACAACAGTAAGTATGTATTTTAACAGACAAAATAAATTGATTTTTATTATTATTACAGCTGTTGGAAGCTATCAATTTTCATTTTTTATTTGTTCGTACATTTATATGTAGTATAGTTTTTTTTACATAAAAGACTGTTTATCTTCCTTTTCATAATCTTTCTCTGATTCGATGTGTCCCTATAATTTTCAGGTTGTTGTTCTGTCGGATTATTTCTGTTTCGTTGATAATTTTCTCGTAGCAATGTTAGACGTACTTCTCTTTCTTCCATGGTTTCATTTCTCCGCGCCATCTTTTGCCTTTGAGATATGATTCGAGACCGCANAGCTGTTGGAAGCTATCAATTTTCATTATAATATACACAAAATTTGAAAAAATTTAAATAATAATAAAAATACAATTTTTCATTATATTCCTTTTTTATTTTATCAGATGATAAACTGATAAATATGATAAGCCTTAAATTTAATGGATTAATTGAGGGAACAGATGTCTGCTATTGCCTAAAGTTCATTAAATTGAATGCATTTTAAAAACATTTATTAGTAACAAACTTACAATGTACATGATGTATTAAAATATTATCAGAATATACTGACTCATTGACCCAACCTTTTCAGTATGCTCTATTATTCATGAATAAAAAGTTCTAAATTTTTCTTTTATGCTAGAAATATTTTATCTGTTAAATTTGAAATCCACTAAATCGAGGGCTTATGCAAACAAGAATATGGTCACTCCTTACTTGACAACCTACCTGTTTAATGACTGCTCGGACTTACAACCAGCTCTCAGCACAGAAATCTCCTTTCTTAATCTTAGTCTTATCCCTGTAGTTGGTCAGTACTCACTACAAATAGAACTCTTTCATTAAGTGAGGAGTGGTAGTATATAAATAATACCATTGAAATCAAAGCATTAATATCAAATTTTGATCAATAAAAGTGTACTTTCAAGCCAGTAAACGATAAAAATCATATCAATAGCATGCTACTTTAAAACCAATGAAAATTAAAACAGTATACCGACTAGAAAATTCACTTGAATTATCAGTTTTGATAATTTTATATTGTAGCAATTAGGATTAAAAAAAATATTGAAAATACAAGAAAACATTTAATGCAGAAATAACAACAATCATCAAATAATACAATGCATTTAAAATATTTTGATGATGATGAACCAGTCAATTAATTAAATGTTTAAAAACACTGTCAAAAATTTGAGAAGCTATAAATTCCATTCCTTTGCAACTTCTTTCCTTTTGGAAGGAAAGAAGTTGTGACTGGTGATTGAGAAATATCACTCACCAATGTACAGTACCTATTGGAGAGATGCCTACTCTCTCTCTCTCTCTCTCTCCTCACCTTGAGAAATACACCCTTTCCACCACCAGCTCAACTGAGGTAGTTACTTATTTTAGGGATACAACACTACTTAAAGATCAAGTAGCATCTAGGAGAGCTATTAAGAAATCAACCTCTAGTGAGAAGTTTGAAAAAATAAAGGAGAAAGAAAACATGTTGATGTTATTTCTTGACATACATGCTCTGTAAATTCAGGCACGTAGCATAGGACAAGTTTCTGAATCTCCTATTCAAAGAAATTTGTCATCTGGGAGCTAACCAGTCATTTACACATTCATCAGCTCCTCACTTGTGTGGAAATGCTACATTCCCAGCAAGATCTTCATCTGTAGGAAAAGATGAAAATTGCTGGGGGGTGAGTCTGGGCTATAAAGCAGATGTGGAAGTAGATTCCAACAAAACTGCTGCAGAAGGTTTTTTTTTGTGTAAGTGGCTGTGTGTAGGCATGGTTAGCATGTGGAAACATAACACCTTATATCAACACCTTTTTGTTTGTTTTGAATGACTTTATGCAATTTATCTAAGTTTCAGTATGTCTGTGAAGTTATGGTTTTAGATTCCATAAACTCAATCAGCAGAACTCTTTTCTTGTCCCAAAACACTATTGTCATTTGCTTTTTTGTGACAAACAACTGATTAAATTTTTTTATTTTCGCAATGAATTAGTGTGCATCCACTGTCAAGACTGCTCTTTTGTTTCCACATTGACAAACTTCCCCCACATTTTGTAACCTATAGCAAACTTTGTCAAGAAATGTCCTAATCATCATGCTATCATTGTTAAAACATCAAAGCAGTAGACATTCTTTGGATTTTGTGGATATTGGTGGGCATTTTTGACACCCATCTCATACAGACTAAGTGAGCATGTGACAAATCTTACTGTTTGAGATGCTTGAGAGAATTCCAGTGAAAGTTTAGAAATAGTAAAGCAACATCATTTGCAAACACACTTGTCACTGTTACACAAGGCTATCAGTCTCTATGGATGGCTACTCTTGACCATCTTCAACAAGCATGCCTGTTTGTCCATCACAAAATTTTTTACACCATTCTCTAACACAACTGTCACTCATAAACTCTGGTCTGTACATTGTATTCATTTTGCAGTGGATTTTAATGTGCACTATGAAATTCAGCTTTCAAAAAAATATGATTCTGCTGAAATAACACTTAGCAGGCAATTCAATAGTAGCAGACTTATTGAAACAATTACAGCAAACAAAAACTATGTAAAATGGCTGATTTGTCAAATGGAACATGACATCATTGTTGTGTAATGCACAGATGTATTTCCAAGGTTACTGATATTCGTCCATTCATCAACCGAAGGCTTGAGTTTCCAAATAGTTCTCATACATTTGAGTTAAGCCTACATTCCCCCTATTAAATTTGAGCCTTTAGAGACTTTCTATAATCCCATAGTCTGAACACCTAATGATATCTCTTAAATATCTTGGAGCTTATGAACTTAATATGCCACTCATCCTTTTTCTTCACTGTTCAATTTGAAGTTCTATTACAAAGAAAAATGTGTATGTACTTTTAAAGATAGATGGCTCTCTAGACTAGCTTATAAAAAGTCCATTACTATTCAATGAATCTGCATTCTGATTATTGGTAAAGTTGATCAGCAAAATAGACAGTTGCACTTTTGAATAGTCTGTCAGGACTGATGGTTTCAAGTTCTTTAATTCGGATTATATAATATCCAAGCTATCTTTAGGAGAGTGATGAATGGTATCTTGTGGGGATTGGCATGCAACATTTGTTTGTTACTTTGATGATCTTGCATCAACCATCTGGAAACATCTTAGATGTCCTTCTATGGTTTTAAAAGGCTTTTAATGAACCAGTGAGCAGCTCATCCCACAACAGTGTTGCTTTGAAATTTGAAGCCTGAAAATACTAGGCCATCTTATTATTGGTGTGAGAATGGGGATAGAACAAAACAAAAGCAAAAAAAATCAGCCAAAAAGGGACAAGTGAACAGTATAAACCAGGCATTTGTGGGTGTTAATCCACTGCTCTTGGGCATAACAGGACAAAGACAATGGGCCAAAATGTAACTGCCCAACAGTTTAATTGGTTGATTAGTTACCCCGAAGGATGTATAACAGATCAAAAGTTTTGCACATAATACCTGAGAATCCTGACAATAATATGAAAAGTCCTTCTTTGTTAGAGATTAGTATGGTGAAGCCCAAACGTAGAAATTGAATCTTCACTACCTTTCTACCTTGCAGACTTAAAACTGATTTGACAATCTTCCTTCCGCTGTTAATGTATTCCCTGGCACATTCATTTTATATTCTTCTATGATCCCCTTTTTTTTTCTTACCTGACTACTTGGTAACGGCTTCCCCACTCCATACTTCACTCTCCTCCTCCTCCACCTCCTTTTACTCTGAGAGGCCTCTCAACTGCACTGGTCCTTCCATCATGGCTGAGGGGAAAGCTCATTAGGTATAAGACACAACTGGAATAGAGATCTAGATAATAACTGACAAGTTTGGAGTTTTTGAGACCTTCACCCTTACTACTAATGATTCATTGAATAATTTGCAACTCTAGCCAAGTTCTTGATAGTCTTGCTGAAGAAAAAGACAATTTCTGTTGAGGATCAGAACAACAAGAGACTTTCAACTGACCTTGATGTCAGAACCTATATTAAGGCCCTACAATAACAAAGCACTGATTGAATTACATACAGATGCTAATAGATTTGTTTGGTTATGATTGCCTATGCCATCTACACTCTAAACAAACCCGAGAATGATTCTGCAAAACACAATAGAAAAGTTGTGTTAAGAAATTTGGCTATATTCTTATGGATGACCATTCTCAATCATTATGATGTAGTGCTCTGCTACTCAACTGTATATATTTATTCTGATTATTCATGTATGTATGTGTACATGTTAACAAGTGGTAAGAGAAATCATCCAGGATGGAGAATAAGGACTAGGTTAATGAGACCAACCTACGGAGAGAACACAATCCTTTTCCCTCAAGGGGTGAACTCTTTTTGTGGAAAGGACTATAATAAAAAAGAGAAGAATCAATGGGAGGATCATCCAGATACATTATTCTTCATATGCAATGATTATTGGGCCAATATCTTTGTTCCAGTTAAGGGAAGGTACCATAAGTAACATGGGTTCATGTTGATCTCTCTTTGTTAATTTTATAGTTTTACCTTGTTACACATGACGCAAAAAAGGGGATCCTGCAGATCATGTAGGAACGAAGGTAAATTCTTTGTATGCAGAGTCAAGTTATGTGAAGGTTAGCATCCTATGTGTCCCCTGCTTGTTAATTATTGCATTATTATTAAAGAGGTTTGTTTGGTTGTAAGCCAACTTGTCATTTTTTTGTCAAAACCCATAGACTCAGGTCTAATAAGGGTTCTAACAATGACCATCACTCTCTATTCTGGTTAACTAGTTTATGAGATTCTTTATACAAATTTGTCTGATGAGTATCACACCTTCAAAAATGACATTACTATCATTTGTAAATCTGGCTGCAAACATCTAAATGCTGACACTTTCTTACAGCCCAGTTGATACTCAGACAATAAAAGGAATGAACAACATGATCACCTCTATAAATTGGCAACATCATCAGAAAGCACACAAGATAATCTGTCATCTACTAAATGACACTAATACCACCTCGCAACACTTGTATCTTTGACAGATCTACAACACTATAAGACTTGTGTGACACCTTTTTATTCAATGTTCCTTATAAATTGCCATCTTTAAAGATTACCAAAATGATCCAACAGCTCTTTCAAAGAATCTCTACTGTCTGTTGAAAATTAAGAAAGAGAAGAGAGTAAAAAAGACAATTGAATTTATTTTCCAAATTGTATTAAATCAAACTCATGTAAAAAAATCTCTAAAAAAGAATTGGGTGTATTTACTAAACTATGTTTTTAATTATAATTTTCATTTCATATTATTCAATTTAAATTTTCTTGATTAGGGAGCTAAACAAATTGAAAGAATTGAAGAAAAAAATGATGATATGAATGACAATTGAATTTATTTTCCAAATTGTATTAAATCAAACTCATGTAAAAAAATCTCTAAAAAAGAATTGGGTGTATTTACTAAACTATGTTTTTAATTATAATTTTCATTTCATATTATTCAATTTAAATTTTCTTGATTAGGGAGCTAAACAAATTGAAAGAATTGAAGAAAAAAATGATGATATGAATGATGATGATGATGATGAATCTGAAAACACTGATGAGTAAGTTTTATTATTTCTTTCTCATAAAATATAAATTTTAAAACAAATTTTTTAAAGCCAAACAACCACTGGATTACATTGGGCTAATTTTCTTTGATTGAATTTAATTAATTACCGAATAATTTGTCATTGCAGGGAGGCTTTAAGCACCATCTCTCATTAAATTTAATAATTATAATTAAATTAATTTTTATTAAATAATTTAGAATATTCTGAAAACCTGATAAATATTACAAATTTATTGTGTTTTATTATATTTGTTTATGTATATACATACCAATTTTTTAATATTAAATTAAAAGTAAACACATAAATACTGTTAGGTAAAGTGATGAATCCAAAAAGTGTCACAATGTTAGATAATGTATCCTTCAAATGCAAAAAATTTGTATAAAGTAAAACTTTTATGAAAATTTGAAGAAAACAAAGTAATTTAAATATTGACTAGATCCATTTATCAAATATAAATAGAAACTCATTATCTGATACATATTTATGTGAACAAATTTTCTTTTTCACATCTCAAGGCAAATGAAATTTTTATCAATGATGAATATACATTTGTTTCAGATATTCTTTTTTTCTGTATTTCTGTATCTCGTTGCTTTGATGATTTTGTACAGAGCACAGTTTAAATTGTTAATACATAACTACTGTATATTATACAATAACTATTAAAACAATTTTGAAACCACTCTAAATACAGTATTTTTATAGAAAATACACAGGCAACATTCTCATGCTTACTTCAGGAGCCAAAATTGTTTTTGGAGGGTATAAAAGATCAAAAAGATAATTCTATCTTCTTTTTAGGCATTTGTGATGCAAGTTTCAGAATAAACTTGAAAATCTGCCACAAATACCCTTGAAATATTTCAAGAAGCCCATAGAAAGTAAGTCATGGGTGAGACCATAATCTCTGAGAGCCAAAAAGACAAGATAAGTGATGGAGCATGATGAAGAGCATAATTTATTGGTTATTTTTTCAATCATAAAGGGACTGTGTACCAGAAATTTTTTCCAATCTGATAGTGAATTCAGACTTTTACTGTAACATTTTGAGTTGATTGCAGAGGATGTTTGTCACAAAAAATCAGAACTGTAGATTTACCTAACCTGGCTCTTGTTATTAGAATGCTTCTGCACATAACCTTCAAAATGTGAGCATTTTTGCTGAAACACAACAGTAAAGTCACTCCTCACAACTTCTTTTTGTTCTCCAAAATTAAATTGAAACTTGAGGCAGCATTTCAACATGGTTGAGAAGATCTAGCCTGAATCATAACAAGTGCTTCAGAGTTTTCAAAACAATAACTTCCAATCATTTGAGGTGTAACAGAAATGGTAGGATTACTGTATAAATGTATGGGAGACTACTTTGAAGGGAATGGTAGCCAGATTTAAAATCTTTATAGAGTAAATCTGGTTTCTTTTTGAGTACACCTCATATTTACAGATTATCTGTTTTATTATCTGTATAATATAGTAAAAAACATTCCTTGTGCTGCATAAGGAAAAAATAACAGTTTTTTCTTTAATAATATATAAAAATTTATATAAATGTTTGTGTAAATTATTTTTAAAATTCTCTTACTTTATATATATGAAATAAGCCAAAAAGTTTTGATTATGCTAGTGAATATTTAAACATTCAAAGAACATGCCTTCTCTAAATACTAATGTATTCCTAAAGGATAACTGATCTTAGTTTATATGACCATTTATGTATGCACTCCAGCAATACAACAATTTATATAAATCACATTTACATTTCACTTTGACAGTATCTTATTTTGAATACACGAAAAAATACCTAATAATTTATTTATGAATTTAGATAATATCTCTCTGTAGAATCTCTTCTTTCAATTGATAATAGTTTTGCTAATCTCATAATTTTCAGATGAAATGTTTCTGTACATATTTATATACATTGAAAAATATATCAGTCATTTTAATTATAGGAAGAATGAAACTGAATTACAAACAACTCCATTAGATAATTTGAATAAAGAACCTGAAAGTGAGACTCAAGATGTTACACTTGAATTTGAAAATCATACTAAAATGAAGGTATAATTTGATCATTGCCAATTTCTGCTAATGTATAATAAAAATATTAACATTTTTATTTAATTTTGATTTAAATTAAATTCTATCATGTTTGTTTATATAGAATTTAATTTTTAGTTTCAATTTTGAATAGGATGAAGAAGGCCAAACAGTACTACATTTTGCTGCTAGCAGATCTCATCCTGATGGAAGTTTCTATGCTTTGCTCAGCCAAGCAGAATTACTTTTGGCAGAAAGAGATTCGAATTATCATACGGCTAGGGATGTGGCCGTAGAGTCCGGAATGACCAATAATGTAGCTGCAATTGATAACTATATTCTCGATGCATTCATCTCTCAAAAAACAGCCTTCTTACAAATGTTAGTTCATGAAGGATATGATCACCTACTTACCGTAACAGATTCGGAAGGAAAAGATCTTCTAGCTGCTATTCAAATTCAAACAGAATCAGAAGGAATAAGAGCTCTCTTGCAAGAAATTTCAGATTTTGAAGTAAGTAAATATGTAAGATCTCAATATTTGGTATGAAAATTTATTGAGTGACAGGATGATAGACTAACACTATAGTATATACAATTTTAGTCAAATAACACAACTTATACTTACAAGGATCTTGAAAACTTGTTCAGTATTTCTTTGTAGTATTTCAATCTTATTTGGTTATAGTCAAGTGACTAGCATTTGAGAAAAAAGAATGAATAAAATCATTCATAGAAAACACCAAAGAATTATCATTTGATAATTCACAGGATAGAAATCATCTGTGATTTCTCCACAGTTAAATTGAATGGCAAAGATATATTTGGAAATAGTTTGTCTGTTGTTGTAAATATAGGAAGAGTGAAGTTTTAAGTCAATTTTGCTATACATTTATGCTAAATAATACATAATTAAAAATTTAGTCAATCATTTAATCAAAAGAATGCTATAAAAAACCTTCTTAAAAATAACTTTTAAGTAGAGTAGAAACTATACATAAAAAATTGTTTTTGTATAATTTATGTATGCACTCCAGTTCAAAACAGTTTGTATTATAGTTTTCAATGAGTTATTTATATTTGAAGTTGATTTAATTTATAAAAAGCATAAATATATTAAACACAAACATCAGTATAATTTTATTTTGCTTATTTGTAAATTATCAACAATTATTACATATTAAAAGTAAAGATGATGTGATATATTACACTCCTTTACAATATCTATGATGCTAAATCTTCACATCGCATAAATTTTGGTATCATCTTTTATTGTAAAAGATAAATAAAATAAAGAATCAACTTCTCCTTTAATTAAGTAGCCAAATTTCTTATTCCAGAAGAAATATTTTTGGCCTGCCATAGGTAGTCTTTAGTTATGACGTTGAATGTGATATCTACAATAGGAGTGTAAGTTCCTCACATTTTCTTAGAGATCTAGCTATCCCAATTTTAATGCTTGTTACATTGTTTGGGAAATTAATATATTGTTAACTTCTATGTGACTTAATTTATATTATTAAAGATATAACATATCTATGTTATAATATAATATACAACTTTACAATTTCTACTAATTTATACTACTGTAATTAATGATTTAATGTATCTATGTTATATCATTAATTACAGTAGTAAATAAAAATTAAAATGTTGTCTAAACAATACAACCCACTAAAATATTGTCCATCATAATAAGCTCTGCGGATATTACAATGTGCACTAAATATAAGATGTTAAGTATGTCCAATAATGTTTCAGAAACTGTACTCACAGAAATAGGTCTTTTCATTTATGCATTTAAACTGTTATATAGAACTCCACATTGATTCATTTTTGCATTATACATTGTCCATTAAGTCCGTCTGCATGTTTTTTTATGATTAAAATAGTAATCTTTTACATTTTATAAAACAAATTACTGTGTATCTATTATTTAACTGTGTCAATAAGATTCATTTAGAGAGCTAAAAACATTCCCTACAGCTATGATGACAAGTTGTCATTTGTTACATTGTTTATTTTACATGCAAATTTATAATTTGTGAATGTTGTTTTGTAAAATTAGTAACTTTATTTTCTTATTGTGAATATTCATTTTCTATATTTTAATTTTCAAATTTTATATATGTGGTTTGGAAGATAGCTCAAACAGATGGCTGGAAACACTTGAGAAGAGGAGATGTAAAATTTGGGTCAAAGTTGGAGGGAGATGTCAAGTTTGGGCATGTGGTGTCTGTCGGCAATGTGCTGATTTGGACTGACAGAAGGCACAGGAAAGAAGAGAAAAGCGAACTTTGAACTGGATACTCAATGACTACCAAGAATGACATTTGAACAAGCGACCAACATGAACAAAAAACGAGCCGGACCTTCAATCAATGTCAACTTGTAAAAACATTGTACGATGGAAATGGATTGTTAACCTTGCAAGGTACGTGTCTTCTTTGTCCAGGTCACCAAATGAGAATGATTCAATGCTGATGAGAGAACATCCGATTGGAATTTTATCTTTTTTATTTACATGTATATACAGAAATGTACAATCACAGAATCAGAAGAACAGAACTTAACAATTTTCTGTGGTTTAAGAAGGTCGGTGGCAATTTTACACCTTTATTTTTGGAAAATTTTGTCAACCAATATAACGGAGTCAGTTAGTGTTCTGCAAATTTCCTGAGTGGCAGTCAAGCCACCTCCATTTTGAAATAATAACCCCAATCTCTGGTTCGCGCAACTCGAAGCCCAGTTTGCCATTGCTAACATCTCTGCCGATATAACAAAATACTACTACACAATCTCAATGATAGAATTGAATGTCTTAGAATCAGTACATGACCTGGTAACCAAACCATCCATAAGCAACAAATATGATACTGTAAAAAAAAAAAAAAAGACTGATTGACTTGACATATACTCGGAAAGCCAAACATCTAAACTGCAAACACTATTGCAAGGGCTGGAATTGGGCAACCAGCACCTGTCACACTTAGTAAGATGTGTGACCTTGCAAATGGATACTTCAATGAAGACCTAAAATCACTGTGACTCCAAAGATGCCCAGGGAATATTCAAGCTATTCTGGCAGCATCAAATGAAACTCTGCCACAACTTGCCACAATGGCTGACAAAATATATGAACTTACCATCATAAACTGCATGCCAATCAGTCAACAGGAACACTGTTGACTGATCTCTATTAGCAGCCCAATCAAGAAACAACTACAGGAATTAACATTGCAAGTAAATGAACTCTCTACCCTGGTATGAGCACCATGCTACCAACATTGCCCAAGATACAACTCCCAAAATTCCCAGGATTCGCAAGGATGAAACCCATCTCATGAGTGATGCTGTTACAAAGAAACAGAAGATGGCTTATGCTTTTACCACACAAAATTTGGTGCAAGTGCAAAAATTGCATCCCACCTTGTTCATTCCAAAAATCTGGAAACTAGACAGGGTGTTTCCTGTGGCCACAGAGAGCAAATGTCAAATCGACAGAATCTTCATGGCTGACTCTTCATCCCAACTTTGTTTTCTGGTTGACACAGGAACAGATGTATTGGTCATATCAAAAAGATTTGCAGCTTGTCCCGTTCATACAGGAAAACTCAGCAAACAGCACCCAAATTTCAACATATGGAACCAGACTACTCACAATAAATTTAAACCTTTGTCGAACCTTTTGCTGGCCCTTTATCATCACTGATGTTGTTCAACCCATCTTGGGCGTTGATTTTTTGAGACACTTCAACTTACTCATTGATGTAAAACATAATTGCTTGATTGATGCCAACACCAAGCTTACATCCAAAGGACTGACAACGAAGAAGCTACCAGCCTCCACTAACATCACAGTTGTGTCTGGCAACTCACCATACCACAAACTACTAGCCCAGTTTCCTAACATCACTAACCCATCACGATTGGACAAGCCAAAGCAAAAGATTCAGGTTTGTCATCACATAAAAACACAGGGCCCACCTGTGTTTCTATTTAGCAAACCACATCATCTCTCTCTAGATACTCTTCTCACTGCGTGCAAAGAGTTGGAGTTCATGATGGCACAGGGAATCATTCTGCCACTGAAGAGTGCATGAGCCAGCTCCTTACATATGGTAAAAAAAACCAAAACCAAATGGAGACTGGTGGCCATGTGAGGACTATCGCTGCTTAAATGCAATTACTCATCCTGATAGATACCCTGTGCCACACATACAAGACTGTATGCAATTATTGCATGGGAAGAAAGTATTTTTTACCCTAGATCTGGCAAGAGCTTACCACCAAATACCAGTCAACCCAGTTGATATACCTAACACTGCCGTGACTATGCTATTTGGCTATGAGTATCTATTCAAGCTGTGTGGACTACGAAACGCTGGACAGACCTCTCAACGATTTATCTGTCAAGTACTACATGGACTTAACTTCTGTGTTCCATACTTCAATGTCTTCTTGCATACCCATTTCTGATCACATGTCAGCTGTCAGGGAACCCCATCTGGCACAAATCTTGCAGAACAGTAAGTGCTTGTGGATGATTTTCTCAACACTACCAACACTGATGAACACTTTGTTTGTAATGTGTCTCACGGTTACTAGCCAATTCTCCAGGATAACTTGCTCAACTTGTGCAATATTCACTGGCATTACTGCAGTTGGACGAACATGTTCATGTGTTTCATTTGTCACCAGCTCTCATCCTTCACCAAATTGTCAACACCATTCATACACTCTTGCCTATGATAGCATTTGTTCCCCATACTGTGCACTTAATTGTCTCAAAATTTCAGCAGGTTTAACCTTTTCCTTTCACGAGAAATTTGATTATATACCGCTGTTCCATCGCTGCAGACACATTACCTTCTGCTATGCACGTGCAAAATATGTCATGCTTGCTACCAAAATCTTGGGATGGATAATGCTACTTCCTCTTTGGGTTTTATCATTCTACAGTAACTTTTTGAAATTATTGGCCCAAAAGTCTTGTTCAACCTTGAATGACCCTTGTATTTTAAAAAATAAAGTATAAATTTGGGTGTCAGCAAGTCATATTATCAATAATAAAAAGTTTAGTTAAATTTAAATACTATAAAATAAGAATATTAAATCATATACAGTAGAGCATCGATTATCTGACTCAATTGGGGACTCAGGTTGGCCGGATAACCGAAAAGAATGAAAAAAATACATTATTAGTATATCCCATGTAATTAGTATATTAGTATATCATTAACCTACGTCGCGTTAAATTTTCATCGATATTAAGCCTAACAAAAATTTTTTAAAAATAATAATCGTTGCTATTGTATCGTTAAAAATTATTTTATTGCTCACAAAACAAACAACCACTCATAATTAGAAAATTAAGTCTCCTTTAAATACTGGCCTCCCTTTCATGGTCGAGCCAATGTTGCCAGCTAAAACATGCAAAAATGTAACAAAAATAATATTAAAGTAGCCAAGACATAGCCAAATATTGTAGCGCCGCATCACTAGCGGACATTTGAAATTTGCCAACTAGAACGGTCGGCAAATTTTGGATAGTAAGTATTGGATAATCAATGCTCTACTGTATTTTAAAATGAAATTAATTTAAATTTATCACATATATTCAAAATTTTGGAAATCACTTTCTCTGTTTAAAATACCATATTTCCTCACTTCCAAGACATTTTTATTCGTCCAAAGCAGGTGTTTTGCATGAATAATAGACATTTTTGCCAATACTAATCACTGGTCACATCAATTCAACTGAGCTTTGCTGCTAATGAGCATTCCATTTAAACTACTTTTCAATGTTTAAAATGCTTTCAAGACCACATCATGACACAATACTAAAATAAATAATTATTCTGTACAAGAAGAGAATGGAAATAGAGCAGCTAAACACTAACTTGTTACTTAAAACTTAAGATTTTTGTTTAATGAAAAGTTTTTAAATAAATAACTTGATAAAATTCATGATGTGTCTTAGAATCAAGCAAAAATGGTATGTAAAATATTCCAGAAAAATGAATATGAGAATATTAGTAACTAATTTTATTGTAAACTTAATTGATTATGCTTAACTACACCACTGTAATTTGTTTCTACACTTAGTGTATTTTTCAACTACATCACAAATAATTGAAACTTTATACAGTATATCTAAAAATAGGCTTTCATAATATATCATTTTAAGATGTTAGTTAATGTAATATATAAAAAATTAATTAATGATAAAATTTTTTGTTTAGAAAAATCGTGAAGAACTGCATACCTTTGTGCGTCATGATTATCAAGAAGGAATTAATAAATTAATTGAGAAGGATCTTTCATTGATAACATCAAAAAACAACAAAGGAAGATGTTCAGTTCACATTGCAGTTCTTTTTGGAAATATAAATATAATTCAATTGTTAGTAAAAGCAAATACATCATCTGTACACGTACCTGATAATGTGAGTATAAAAAAATTACATAATTTTGTTAATTGAAAATACAGTAAAACCTTGCTAAGTTGAACTGTTATCTCAAAGTAGTCAACCGATACTGGCATGGTTTATAGAATTTTCAAAATAATATGGTTGTGTTAAGTCAGAATTGCCAGTTCTTTTAATTCAAACCTATTTTCTCATGTACTCTCTGTTCTTTGATAAGACCATGATCTTTTACCTCTTATATACTATGTGAATACAAACAATTAAGATCAACAAACACTACAGCTCAATGCAAACACAACATTGCATCATTACAACTTCATGCTAACATCCTTTTACTGTACAGTATGTTTGTTATTGATGTTCTGATTGGAACTCAAGGGGCAACTTGACAATGCCCTCAAAATTACCATAATCTTTTGCCATAAAGTCATATTTTGTAATCATCCAATGAACAGATTCTTGAGAAATGGCTTAATAACAGGAAATTTACGGCCACAAATATTTGAGAAAAATTGAGTATTAAACTCTATAACTTAAAACTCTCTAAATTCAAAGTCAGGATATTTTTATTCCTTAAATTCTTATTATTGAACACTTTTTTTATAAATTAGGAAATTTTTCATTTATAAGCAATATTAACATTGTAAATAGCATATGAAAAAATAAAATATTTGATTCTGATAAAAATAAAAGTTATTAAAATGATGTTGATTTATATATTTATTTATTTTTCAGCTCGGTCGTACTCCACTTCATTACGCCATGGCTATGCCTCGTATAGAAGAAATTGGAAAAATACTGATAAAAGCAGGAGCCATAAGAACAGCAAGGGATGTGGTAAGTTATAAATAAGTATAAAAGTTTGACTTAAATTTAAAAATAATAATTTTATCGTTAGATTTTTCTTTACACTATTTTGAATACACCTAATTCTATTTTTTACATGAGAGATATGTTTCTGAAGAATGTGTATTAAAAATATATTGATTTTACAATTAATAAAAATAATACAATAAACCATATGAAAAATCATGTTAGAATCTCATTGTTTTTATGTGCTTGTACTTTTTATTTCATAAAGATAGTAACTTGTTATTTTACTTATTTTACATGTGCAAATTCATATACACAAATAAAAATTATGTAAAATGTTATTCATTGTTACTTTTTGATAAGAAATACACAAGTTTGTGTAAAATAGCAATACCACTGATACTTCTAGAAATATCTTGGTCATTGTCTTCTTGCTCCATGGGTGTAAGGGCTACCAAAAAATATTTCAGCTGTAATTAATTAAACAAAACTTTGAAAATTATAACTTATAAACTTAGCATTTATTGACTTTTCAGCAAAATTAATATGTGCACAAATTTTATATTAATATTTGTGTGAAGATAAATTTTTATTTGTATTTAGTCTTCAATACCATACATACTTGAGTAATAGTTGATATTATTTAAAAGCCAACCCCTATTTTTGACCAAAAAATCTGGAATTTTTAATAGACCCTGTGTAAAAGTCAAACTTAGTATTTCACAGATAATGGAGGTCAACATTTGTCAGAATTTTTTTCTTTGAGAACAAATGTGAAAATTAAATATAAAAATTCAAATAATGTCAGTTTCATATTTAAAAAAAAACTGTTACAGAAAACAGACCACTTTTCAGTACTTTTGTGGGGCTGAAATTCAAGCTAGAATCCAAAGGAGTATCTATGTAATGGTTGATTCCATAAATTTGACCTTAAAAAATGATCTAAAAAATTTGATTGTTACATTTCTATCTATGGTACTTTAAAATAAATTGTTTTTCTTTGTGCCAATGGGAAGCTCTTAAGTCTTTGCAGCCCTCCCCTTGGATCTGCCATTGTAAATTAGTACATTGACCTAAAACTTTCCACTTAAAGATCTTCAACTACAGCTGTGTAAGGTCTTGCATCATTCTTCTTATACCTTTCAAATAAGTGATAATCACCTGGCATATTCTTTCAACTTCCCAAATATGGGAAAAAAGTTTGATGATGAGATGGTTAAATGGACAAGTGGCAGATTCTTATGATTTGGATATCAAGAAGCTTGTTCCCAGCAGAGATGCCAACCAGTACAGATTTTCTGTGGTTTTGACAGATATCATGTGTAAATTTATACTTTTGAATATGCTGTAGTGACCCATCACTTAAATTAATCTATATTTTTTTCTTTTTGTTATGAATGTTAATTTTTTTTGTATGCAAATTTATTTGTGCCAGTTTCCGTTTGTGCTCGGACACCACATTTTTTTTTTTGTTAACTTCGAGGAACTTGCTGATTGGTTGTGATTCGTGACGTCAAACAAAGGGAGGTATAAATGGAGGTGCTTCACCTGAGAAGACATCTTTTTTCTTTACGGACTTGATTGGTGATATGTCGTCTACGTGAGGTGCAAGTAGTAAGAAGAAAGAAGAAAGGGAGAAGACTGAAAGAAGAATAATAATCCGTTCCCATCCAAGGCCAAGATCAAGACATCGATGTGAATTGCATATACATTCCTTCCTAAATAACTAAGGACACATGTAAGACCCTGAATTAAACAAAATTTTACCTCACCTGTCTGAGAAAAGTGTAAAGTCCTTGCTTTTGTTTCTTTTTTTGTTGTATTGCCTATTGCCCAATATTGTACACTATATACTTAGGTATATCAGGAAATTAACAATGCTAATGCAACAATACATGTAAGTGTTAGTTAGCATTTTGTCCACAGAATTGCCAATATGCTGAATCTCAAACCAATCAAAGCATTCAAATCAGTAATAAGGAATGTGCATAGAGTGATTACTTCCAGGTTGAAAGCATCTAACTAAGGGTATCTAAAAATTGTTCCTGTGCCTGACTAAGTTGAATAGTTGTACTAAAACATGTTAAAAAATGACTCTCAGTCTTTTCATGTGGACTTTTCTAGCAGGCCCAATCTTGATGTAACAATGTGTAGTGTGGCTTGATGTAGATAAAATGGTGATTTCTGTCAATTATATGAATTTTTTTTATACAAAACGAGAAATATAAATAAAATTATTTTGGTTTTATAAACAATAAATATAAAAGTGAGAAGTTGCTTGTCATGTCTATAAAATAAGTCAATGTGACCTACCTACAAAGNTTATATATATAGAAAATATAAAATAATTATCTGAGTAAATTTTTTTTTCTATTTATATATTTAAAATACTTAATGTAAAATTGTCACAACATAGAAACAACAGCACTAGAAATCAATGAGTCATCACAAAATTTTTCTTGTGAATAGTTTATATTGAGAATAAGGGGTAAAGTTCATGAGGTGATCAAGTGAAGCTGGCCAGAAAAGAATATCAATCAATTTCTGATCCTGCTGTTTCTAATCATTATAAGATTTTTGAACAAGTGATCATGACCAAGCAAGTAAAATGAAATCTTCTACTAACATTAAACAGTCAATCCTTTCTAATCTGCCCACTACAAAAACACCTGAGAACAACAGAACAGTTTTAATCTAATGGATGTATTCCTCCCTGAATTTGCCATCTGCCACACTACCAGGAAGGAGATAATCCACCAAAATAATATAAATAAGGTAAACTTAATGTATTTTGTATACAAATTAGACCCAGACCTGGCTACCCTATTCTACTAGGTGTTCAGTCCTCAAGGGAGTGCAGTTTACTTTGTTCAGGTCAGACTCCAATATGAAGTCACTCCACTTCCCAAGAAATGTGTACAAGACCATGCAAAATAATTTACTCCTTTTCTTGAAGTAAAAGTACAGCAGACCAAAAATGCAATCTTGATATGAACTGGAGGCTCATTACAAAGGTCAAATTTGACATTTATTATTGCTAGAATCCTTCAATGAACCAAAAGGGCATTGAAGAACATTTATTCTCAAGTATTTAGGATCAATATTAGTTGCCAAACAATCAAAGACATTCTGTCAGAATCAGAACAATGGGAACAAGACAAAAAATTTCATAGCTGTGTTAAGTAAGAAGGGAAAGTCAAATGTGGTAATTTGGAAAAAGCTTTAAATTTGTGGATTGGCAAGTGAATGATTTTGCTGTTGTCATAGATGAGCTAATTAAACACCAAGCAAAAGACTTTTGCATGAAGCTCAACATCATAGATTTTCACTGCAGCAACAGCTGGCCAAACAAGTTTATTGAATGGTCATGGGATTGGGGAAAGCAGATCTGTCAATCATCAGACTATTGAGGAAGCTCAGTAGAAGTTGCAAGAAGCAATGAGTGAGTACAGTTTGAGAGATGTATGTTATGTGGTAGCTGCCAAAAGTTTCCGGCCTAACTATGTTTTAGATGTTTTAGGTATAAAACTATAATGTCATTTTTCAATATAGTCTCCTTGCTGTTCAACACAATTATTACATCTTGGAATTAGCATTTCAATACCCTAGAAAAAAACAGTCTGCAGTTTTGTCTGCAAAATGTACATAAACTGTCTCCTGCAACTCTTCTTCATTTTTTCAAAGGTCTTTTTTGAGTTTTGGAAACAGATGATAATTACTAGAAGGCAGGTTTGGATTGTAGGGTGAATGGTCAAACTCCTGGAATCCACACTTAATCACAGCAGCCTTGGCAAGGGCAGCCGTGAGCACTGGCGCATTGTTCTGCAAGAGGAGAACATGATGTGAATTAATGCAAAAAGTCTAACTAAAATGAATGTTTCCAAGCAATTTATGCAAATTGGTGGGAAAAACTGTTTTATTAACTATCTGATACTATCATTTTTATTTTATTCCTATCATGCCTAAAATATAGTTATGGAAACTTTTGGCACCTACCTCGTATACAACATGGATGAAACTTTCACTTCTTGAGATGAAAAAATAAAGGGCCAAAAAAATATAAGGAGAGGATTATCATAGTCTTTTACATTAATGCTAATGGAAGTGACAAGATGAAATGATGGTAATTGAAAAATCAAAGAAATCTTGGTGTTTCAAGCATTTCAATTACATCCATTATTGCTGGAACAAGAAAAGTGGGATGATATAATGATCAAAAGATGAAAAGTTTTGCTCATCCTGGACAATGCAACTTGACAAACACATAACGTTTCTCAGCAATGTATGTTTGTGCTTTTTACCTCTGAATCTTTGGCAAAAGAGCAATCTTGATGCTGATGTAATAAGATCTTTCAAAGCACACTGCAGGAATATGCATTGCAAACTACATCAGATTCCAGTTGACAGACTCTATGAAATCAAATTGCTTCTTACTGATGACATTTGATTGACAACAGAACCTTAGCAGAAAGTAACTTCAGTGACACTTTCTAATTGTTGGAAGCATATTGATCTCACTGAAGATCAATCAGGGCTCTCACCAGAAGTCCAGAAGCTTTTTGATTCTCTGGCCACTGTTTGTCTTTTAGTTCAAACAGATGATACCCTTCAAATTGAAGACAATATACCAATTTGTTGCAAGATGACTCTCAATGACTCTGTGCTGGAACAAGATGATAATGATGAAGTTGTTTCTGAAAATCCATTCCATTGGAAAAGTGCTAGAGTATCTGCATGAAATTCAAAGGTTTCAGGAAGCAGAAAAGACAGGAAAATTTGAACATGCAATGGCTTGCATGAGAAATTACAAGACACAAAATAAAACAAAAAACAAAAATTAAGAATGTTTTAAAATCAAGTTGGTTAAAAAGTCTTCACATAAAACCATATTCCTGCTAAATGTATCCATGATAATTAATTAAAACGATATCCAAGATGATTTGAAGTTAATACCATATCCAGTGTACTGGTACTGTATATGCTAATAAAAATTAGTTACAAAATGGAAATCTTTTTGTTGATACCTCTCTAATCTGCCACTCCTGTATCTGTCCAGAATTCCAAGTGAACAAAGGTGGGTAGACTAGGGAGAGTCAACTGTAATTCTATAATTTGTTTCACATGATAAGTTTTAACTTTGAAGTTAAGACAGTTTACAAATAAGTTATGATGTCATTGTTCCAATTTTAAGATATCAGAAACAGAGATGGATGGAAAATTTATTTCCCATTCATCCCCTCCCCAACTGTGATATATGATCCTGCTCTACTGATGCCCTTCAGTCTGTCATTCTGGAAAAGAATGACAGACTGTATGCCAATTCAGAATAGTATGCCAACACTTTCATTGCTTTCAGTATTTGCAATGGCCAGGTAGTGGCCATTGCAAACACTGAAAGCAATGAAAGTACAAGATTCAAGGTCACAAATTTTTCATGAGCACTCTGTCCCATATAAGTTAGGCCCTGTTCACCATCACTCAGCCATCTCCATTGCAGGCCTGGCTGAACACATGATGAATATATCTAAGAAGGCCCTTTTAGTCCCTGTAAGATGGAATGAGTGAAAAACTAAAGATAAAAAAAGAAAAAGAGCCATGTAATTTGTAATACTTTTAACATAGTGTAAAAACTAACTTAAGGAATTTTGTTAACAAGAGTTTTAGGAAGTGTGAGAACCCTTACCTGAATTCTCCCCAAAAATCTTGAATTATAAAAAGCCAAATGACAGCTGAAATATTTTTCCATTTACATGACACTGGGATTGAGTTAAACAATGCAAGTTCTAACATCAACCATTATCATTTGGGATCGGAATGCAGTGTCGAATTAAATGTCGGCATCAACCTCTCCTATGTGCCAAGTTGGTCCTAAATTATCCCTGGAAACAGGTAAGAGATCAATTGAAAGTGAGGATGGGGAATTGAGACCAGTCAGAATGTGCAATCAAAGGACCAAGCCATTAAAATCCCGTGTCTCAAGAACATGATGTTCCTTCCATGGGATTCCTTTTTCCTCTGAGGTATCATCTTTCAAGCATTTCCAGCTCTGACAGGTTCTTGTATGCCCATGCTCTCTCTTTCCTGGATACATCTCCCAATTGGCAGTTGTACTACTTATTGGACTGGTTCCATCAGTCATCCTACTGTTCAGATTAATCTAATGAGAAACCCTTTTTTCATCCCACTACTGGGACCCAACATACCAAAAACACTCTAGTCCTATCTGAGGAGGGATACAGATCCTCTCTGACATCAACACCCAACTGTTTACAACTGTGATCATTGAGGAAGGGACTGTAATTCCTGAGACTGATCTTCTGTAACTCCTGAAAATATTTCAGAAAATCTTGTAAGAAATATCTCTTACTCTCAAATAAATGAGATTTTATTTTGTTTAAGTGAACCTACCTTAGTGACTACACATCCTCATGCATAATCGTCATCAGTCATCTCTCTGACTTAGAGAATTAATTGGCTTTTTATGTACATATTTGATACTGGAACTGCAACGACCATTATGGGACCTCAAAAGTTTAATTAAGTAAGAGTTTAGAAACATGCACTACTGCTTTCAGAACACAAAGTGGATTGTAGAAAATTACATTTTCTACAATCCACTTTGTGGTCTGAAAGTAGTAGTGCAAACATATTTTGGTTGTAGCAGAAATAAAAATGCTACAACCAAAATATTATTTGGTAACATATAATAACAAGCAAAAATTATTGTGACATTAAAAATTGTAACCTGGCATTATCACAATCATATTTTTAATTTGTTTAATTTAAAATATAAACTCCTCACCTCAAATTAGTAGTGTCTTGCCCTCCCTGTACATCATACTTTTCCTGATAACAACAAATTCATATTGGTCACCATGTAATTCCATTCTAGAGAAAATTTTTGAATTAAAATTACATGACTTCCAGTATGTCATGTGATTTTAATTCAAATTAACTATATATGAACTTCCGGTATGTACCAGAAGTTCATATATAGTTAATTGGGGCCTCTTGCTCCCAAGTTTTCCATATCTGGTCTCAACTTTCATCTATCTAACACAGTTTTTGAGATTAAGGAAGGACAGACAACAGTGGGAATTTATAGGTCTACAATTTTTCAAATTGCAGCCTAATGATGCAAGCCAATTATCTACCAAGATTAGGCCAGATGTGGCCTGCAGACCATCATTTGGACCACTCTTCCTCATTTTTTACACACTGAGTAAAACCTAAATCAGACTTTGTACAAATTTTTCTTTTTCTCATAGATGATCCTTATAAATTTCTTACAAGCTATTACATAATTATTATGTAATCAATTATCTCAGTGTAGTCAATTAAGCAATGATAAGTGATACTTTTTTTTGGCCTGTTTGAAACCTAGATTATTTTTTTAACCATCCATTTCTTTGTCCCCTTTAAAATGATTGTGCTCAGGCCAGAGCATTATTCTCATTACTTATTTTTAATATTTTTTGTGTTTCGGTGGGACTCTAGCATTATGCAATATTTGACATTAATCCATTTTCTGGATTCCAACAATAACATTAAGTGAAATCCAATCGGCCTCTAATTATATAAGTTGTGGTTTGTCAAGGACACTTTCGAAAGCTTCTTTAACAACATATCTGAGAGATTTTACCTAAGCATGTTTACCTAAGCACACAACATTTTCAAAGCAACAAACAGTTTGGCCTTAATCGCCAACTTGGATTATAAGCATTCACTAATATGACATATTGTACTTCTGAGATCTTTTATTTTGAATATCGGTATCATTTGCTCTCAGTTTGTCAAACGACTTATCATCAATTAATATTGACACAGATGTAGAGAGATGTTTTGACCTGATATAATAATTAATCGATAGATATTCATTTCTATTATGGTGATCTCAGATCAATTAAATTATTTTCTCAAATTTCTTCTTTGTACAGTACATTAATTAGTGAAAAATTAGAAAATTCTACTTTAGTGTTCCAAGTCATTCTATATTTTTGCTATGATTGTTGAATCAATAGAAATTTTTATTCAAAAGTGTTTTTTTTTCTCAAATGTCTTGATTTTTCATAACAACTGAGGATTTGTTTATAAATTTTTCTTAAAAATGAAGAGAATGTGACCAATTATTTCCATTTAAAATGTCCATTATATTTTACATGGATTGTCCAGTAAATAAGTATCTGAACTGAATAATATTTTATTATTTTGAAAATATTATACACAAGAATGAAATTGGCAAGAGACTATTTTGAAAAATAATGTTTGTAATTTCTTTTCACATTCCATCGGCATAAAATGCTTTTAGTCGATTCCAAAACTATCGAAGAACTGCATCTGTTGTCTCATTATTGTCTACAAACATTTTTTTGCCAAGATATCACTTGTTTGATCTACCAAAAGAATAATATCTTGGTGGCAAGTCCAGCCTGTAGGAAGAATAATGCAACAACCTCTATAGTTTTCTTAGCTATATATGGTCTTGAATTATTCTGTACAAAATAAGATGACCTCTTTGCATGACATTTCTGATCTTTTTTTTTGTATACATTTCTGTAAACTGCCTGACAGTTCAGGTTGTATCAAAAGTCTTCCTTTTCTTCAGGAAATCGACTTGCCCTGTACTACTGTAATCTTAGTAGATCAACACCATAAATTTATTGGCAGCGCAACACCACTACAAGATGAGTGCAACGCAGCTTGTGGAACAATTGCACTATACAAATACATGTACGAGAGTATGGTATTGTCTTTGAATACCAATAAAAGTCTGTAACGAGTTTCTATGCTGCCGGCACTTTCCTTTACGAGAAACTTATTCACAATTTGCCATTATTGAATAGGTGTTGAATATCCCGATACAATTTTCAATTACAAAACAGGAAAGTAAGAAGTGAAATTCACATTTAGTCTGGTGTATGTCAATTACATGAGGCATGATGCTTAATTGAGCTACGTTGTTATATTTATTTAAAATAAAATAAGTAAGCATATTTACTGGACAAGCCATGTATATTACTGAAAGTATTTATATGAAATATTTTATATTGTAATATTTATTATTTTTTTATTTAGAGGATGCGCACAGCAAGTTATTTCTTCATCTACAAACATGAGATCTTAGCACTTCAAGAAGAAGAAAAGTTACTTGTTTGAAAATTAAAACTGGACTAATTCCCAATTTGGAATTTACTTCTAAATATAAATTCCATATACATGTAACATGTTTGTTCAAATGAAAAAGAAATTCATGTCATCTTTACTAAGATTTATTTATATGTATTGTATATTCAACAATAATATACAATTTTACAAATCATTTTATATATTGTCATATTTAATGCAAATAAAAAGTGCACTATGCACATTATATTTTATGAACAAAAAACATGTATGTGATTCATAAATCATTAAAATTCAACGAAAATAATTTGAATCATAAAAACTTTATTTTTGATTCAAATTAAAATAGAGTTTTAAGTTTTCTTGATAAACTTATTGTTCTCTAATATGCATTATCTACATAAAATCTTTACATGTGTAAAAAAAATGTTGTATCACAACTCTTAAACAGTTGTAAGATCTTTTTTAATACTTTATATATTTCAATTATTAAATAAAATAAATATTTTTATGTAACAATTTAATTTTTGAAGAATTTCAATTTGTAACATCGAATTTTACAAATATTTAAAAATAAGTTTATTATTTTATATGAATCCAAATAAATACAAGAGTAATCAAATTTTTATAAACTATTAATGTTTAAAGATAGTTTAGATTTATTCATTCGAAAATTATGAACAAATCATCATTAGTACATCCCTTAAATGTATTTTTATACAAATTTATATATTTCGAAAATATGAAAATATCTAAGCATTCCCTCCTTAATGTCTTTATGAAAGGCTCCCAGTTTTTCCAGAGAACTTTTGATTATTTCCCATTAAATTATAAAAATTAAGATGCTTTACAACATAACCCCAAAATTTCTGGGCTTTTACGATCCATTCGGATTTGATTCCAAGTACCCTAGAGTAGTAGATTGGTCTGTTCCGGATGGCCTCATCTCTCACGACTCAACCATCTCATTACGGACCTGTCCAAACCCAAAATGGGCTCGAAAAAAGGCCTCTTTTGTGCCCACAGAATAGAAAGAGTTAATTTTCAGAAATTAGTTGGAATTTTTTTAAACAAACACAATATAATGCATATAGCATAAGCTTGTTTTTTATTTATATAATGTGATAAAAATATGACTTTCTGCACACCAAATAGTGTAGCATCAGTTTTTTTTGTAAGCACTAACACGTACAGTCTGTATGACATACCATAAGCATTTCGTTTATGCTTTGATACAGCAAACAGCACACAGAAATAAAGGGATATGCTACAATAAAAAATAAAAACACAATAAAAAAAAACAAGCAATAGACTGCAAGACATCCTTTTAATGTTTCTGACATTTCTGTAGATTGCAGAATTGCTAATTACTGCCTGTGACATCACAAACGATATATAAATTTTGTCATAGAAGGTGTTAGTATGATACGATGCAGTGATGCATAAATATGAACATAAAATGTATGTATCTCTAATATAATGAAGCTTTGATGTTGACAACCAAAAGATTAACTGGTTAGGTGGCATGCACATATTGCGACAATAGATTTTGCTTCATTTTTTATTTCCACCTTCTTCTGTATACAATTTTGTCATCACCACTGCCTCCCCATCCTCATTTGCACAATCATATTTACAATAAATGTCAATTAACAGCAGAACATTTTAAATTAAATGAATTATTTTGTTCGTTTACTCAAGGGGAGGTCATCCGAATGTTTTAGTCAAACATCCCCTTTCCACTGTGTCAGCATTTGTCAACACCCTCCCCATCTCGATGTCATCGCAATCAATGCATGCCACCTTATTATATTCTACTGGAAAAATATAACTGTGAAGATGTTCTATGGAGGAGTATGCTTGTATATATTTTCACATTAAAATCTTTTCAAAATAACATATACTTATGCTAGTGATTTTATACAATTGAATGATAATCTAAACTTACTTTATCATTATATACAGTATATAAATAATAGTTTATAGTTTGAATTACTGATTTTTATTAGTAAAATTTTGTTCCTAAATTATCATTTTACTAGAATTAGGATTGTTTCTTAATTTTACTTGTGCACACACAGACACATTCTTAGGAATTATATTAGCAAAATAACAATTTAACTTGAAGAAACATAAACAAACATCATTTATATTCTTTCAAATTAAATCATTCTCATTAACATTTTCTGACTTAAACAAGATACATCAAAACATAACTTTTTATAATTATGCTTTGAAAAGAAATATTTTATAGAATGAATAACCGTAAAGATAAAAATAATGTTACGCGGATTAATAAACATTCTTCTCTAAAGAAGAATTATTTTCTAAAACTTATACATTAAGAAAAAAAATCTGCTTAAATATTCCTTTGATTATTGAATTTCATTAAATGAATTAATCTATAATAAATAATAAAACAGAAGATTAGTACTCACAATAATTAATGCCGTTTTGTAATCAATTAAAAACTTTTTTATTCCGTTTCAATGCTTGAATTTTTACGAAGGCTTTCAAATTTCAGAATGTCTTTGACTCTTAATAATACTTCTTTAACATTCTGAAGAATTCTATAATAAATAATAAAACAGAAGATTAGTACTCACAATAATTAATGCCGTTTTGTAATCAATTAAAAACTTTTTTATTCCGTTTCAATGCTTGAATTTTTACGAAGGCTTTCAAATTTCAGAATGTCTTTGACTCTTAATAATACTTCTTTAACATTCTGAAGAATTCTAAAATTCTTTTAGTAAAAATAGAAGTTATTTTTTTAATAATAATTATTATTTTGTTGAAAATTATTTATTGATAATTCATATACATTTTATAATAAATACATATTTACAAAGTTTTACAATTTACAAAATAATANACAAAAAACCAACGTAACTGGTATCGTGGGGGCTGCGCGGCCCCCAGAAGGTACGTAGCTCCATCCTTGTAAGTGCTACAGGGCCGAACATTTGGCACTCGCTAAGAGTCGCGACGTAATGAGATTACATAAAATGGCAGCTGCGCACGATATTTAGATTTTTAGAAAATCGTGAAAATATGATGTGTGGGGGCCGCGCGGCCCCCATAAAACCAGTTAAGGGTTAAATTTCTCGAAACTATATTTATGTACAAAATTATTCGATAAAATTTAACAAAACTCTCGTCTACACAAGAAGTAAGTTACGGCCACATTTTATTTACGTTAAAAAAACAAACAGCTCAGACTTTTAACAAGCGTGGGCTATTTGTTTTAAATTGAATAAATTATCAATAATTAAATATGTTGAGAAAATTAAATTACTAATATATTTTCTTTAATATATAAATTAAACAGGTTTATTTAGAATTTGAAGTCCTATTTTTGCCAATAGGTATTGAATAATTAGCAAATATAATCTAAATGCTGTAGTCATAAATATCTGAAATACAAGAGTGAAATATATTACTTTACTTTATAAATACATTAAATATACTTTAAAATACAGGACAAGAATTTGGTAAAACATTTTCTAGACGATGCATATTTATCCAATCTTTTAATTTGTGATTGATGGCAATGTTTTTAATGCATCCTTTAAAGTTATCTCTGGAACTGAGAATACCGAGTGGTTCTTCGTCTGAAAAAATTTAATATATTATCGTCAGTGTAAATATGATAGCAATAAACAAAGAAATACAGTATATTATATATTCTGGCAAAGTAAAATAATAAAATTAAATCGCATGACTTCTGTTAATTGAACGATAACATGACTCAATTTACCATGACTATTGAAAATTACTTTTAACAATTGTTTAAATTATTTAATTAAGCAGATATTTATTTAGTAATGCTACATTTTAAAAAATTATAATCGGTTATTATTAAATGTGTTAATTGATTTCAATTAACAATGCTAAAGGATCAATAAATATTTCTTATTAGAGACATATGAAAAGTTATTGAAGTCTTCAGTTCATCCAATTTACACAAGGATACAAAATTGTGTATGGGAATCAACTTTTGTTTTTAACAATTTAGCCAAAGAAAATCTAATAAAGAAGATTCATTCTGATTAGTAATTTTGTTTTCCTGTGTTGTGAATGGGATGACCGTGAAGACTTTTAAATTAATGAATATTTTTAAAAATGTTTTCTATATCTTCTACTCACAAATATTTATTTATAATTATTCACCTGGTTTTATTCTTTGTACAAAATACAGAAATAAATTGATTATTCAAATTAAAGAATTGTGTAAAACTTGGAGTGTTCAAATGTCTTAAAAGTAACCAAAACATTTATTCTTTTAAAAATTTTTTTTGGATTATTTTGATTCCCATCCAAATAAATTTAGATACAATTCACAAAACAGAATGTAATTATTTAATTTTAGATTATTAATGATTATGTTTCAAATTATTGTTTATATAAAAGATAATACTAAACTGTATAAGATTTTTATAACCTCAACAAACAACGGCAGGTACGTACAAAAAAAAAAGAGCAGAGAAGACCTCAAGGGAGAATTCCAAGGAGGCAAATAAGAAAAGTTTTCTTTTGGAGTTTGGTTTACTGCAAGAAGCCTCACAGGAGATGATACAATATACATAAAATCAGAAAAGTTTAAAAGATTCTAATATACAAGATTATTTTGACTCTTTGGAAGAACCAGTGATGGACATGGACATTAAAATCATTATTCAATCTAACCTGGGTAAACTTTCTTAATTATGTGAGGGTTGTAAATGCGTGTTGAAATTACGACTAATTACGAAACTTTTACGTCGGAAAGTTTCGAAGATAGAATCGGGTCAAGAGGGTGTGTCAATGACAGAACCCAGATGGGACAAAAACTTTTTTCCGTATTGTAAAACAAATGTGGCGCGATGATAAACAGCAGGGGGGAATGTCGACAGGGAGAGAGAACTTTGTCGAGATGCTCGCGAACAAGTGTCGGGTCAAAGCAATCGAGAAAAGGGGAATCTAAGAACAAAAGGGACATCTGTTAAGTCCGAACACGGTAGGGGATAAGTGGCCACAAGAATATCTGGTGGACTGTTTAAGTTCAAAGATGTCTGAGAGAAGGGCCATAATGGAGTAAAATACAAGTGCAAACATTAAAAGCCCCGTCATCACCTCTTTGACCTTTTCCCGACCCAGATCGGTCTCGAGTTTCACCTAGAAACAAAAGAATGACCAATCGGGATAAGGGAGAGGGTGAACGGGACCAATCAAAAGGGTGAGATTCGGGGAAAATCTTATAAAAACCCCAAATCTCAAGGACAGGGAAAGATTCTCAGCCGATTCTCTCCAAGATGAGTGTCAGGAAGCTCGCCAGATCATCTGCACATGGACATCCAGACTCCGCCGCATACCCAGAAGAAGGAAGTGAGGAACCAATCATCGGACATCGCCCGTCAACCATCGGAGCCTTCAATGAGCAAGACCCGGGACACCCACAAGTGTAACATTGGACGTCCCACAATATTTGTTCTTGTTATTCCTGTTATGTAAGTTAACCTTATGTCAAAATAAATGGTTTTTGTGTAAGACACTTGTCATCTTTGTCTCCTGCCACCACCACCCACATACGGTTTGACCCTAGGTTTTCCTGACGCGCAATTAACGTATTGCCCCTAAAAGTCAGCAACCTTACAATTAAATAACAAATTAATAAATATAAGACACAAAATGCAGTTTTAAAAACAAAAATTACCTAATTTAGAGAAGAATTAAAGGATTTTGCAAATAGGCTGGAGCAAATTGGAACAATGATTAAAAGTCAAGGTCAAAGAAGAAGTACATTAGAATTTGAGCCAGATAAGTTCTTAATGAAAGATTTAGTAAAAGTACAGTAATACTAAATTTCCCATTTAAATCAGAAAATTGTGTGTCAACAATAAAATACATTTTTTAGCTTCCAAATTACAAATAACTGAATGTTCAATAGAAAGTGGTATAATTTTAGTTAAGACTAAAGAGAAAAAAATTTACGATTAAAATTTCTTCAGAATCAAAAAGATATTAAGCATTTCATTGAAAAACTTTTGTTTTAAATAAAACAGATCAAGACACTTGTATGATTATTATAACTGATATTTTTGTATGTATACAAATTTCTCAGTTCACAATTCATTCAATGTATTTTTAAACTCATTATTACGTACAATCATTAATTTTATTATTAATAAGAAGTTTTAAGTTAGTCTACACCAGTGTTTTTCAACCTTTTTGAATACGCGACCCCTTTACAAGTTAAAAAATTCTGGCGACCCCCCTAGGGCCATATTAAAACTATATCAGTGATTTAAAAAATTATGTATTTAATTTTCTTTCTGTTGAGAGAAATTATTGTTGACTAAAATGAGAATTTAAGAAGAATCGACAATAACTTAAGACACGTATAGTATGTTACTTCCTTCTTATAATAACAATGGGTTCGGAGTGCTGTTGACGTTGACCTTTTTTTTTTATTTTTTTAGGATGAGAGTTTTTCACTTCTACTTATTACTTTTCTTATTTTCTTTTCTACTTATTACTTCTTTTTACAAGTCAGCTCAACACTTTTTCGGCTATCATTTTCTGGGGTGGGCCGTACCCACCCAGGCCCCTCCCAGGCGACACCCATCATTCGGACCTAAATGTCAATCAAAAAACCAACTGTACTGTATAATAAACAAGTACAGCCTTCTCGCTGAAATTGTAGTTTTTTTAATGTAGTGTAGGACCTACAAACACTTGTCTTTTTCTTTTACCCGCGACCCCCGTGTAAGGCTTCGCGGGTCGCGATCCCCCTGGGGGTCGCGACCCACAGATTGAAAAACACTGGTCTACACTATACAGAATTGTGACATATTGAAATAAATATGTAAAAATAAACCACCTGTTATTTTAAAATGAATAAGAAAATAATACTACGTTACCTGGTAAGCCTCCGATAAAAAGAGGAATGGCAGTAGATATTTCCGGAGTTAAATTATTTCCGACAACACTGTATACTACGTCATATTTATCTATTTTTAGATTTATTTCTTGCCCTAAGAACTGTACTCTGATCAAATGCCATTCGCCGTCACACATTTTATATTTATTGTCAAATTTTTTAATTGCTTGCAATGGTATCCCTACAGTATTTACTGATGCAATTATCTAGAAAAACAAATGTCAAATATTCTTATATTTTTTATACTACTTTATATGTATTTAATATATTGCTGTACTTGTTAATATAACAAAAACATTAAAATGTATTTAATAATGTTTGATAAAATTAGTTAGTAAAATTAAGATATGATTAAAGTTTCTTCTGCACGAAAAAATGATCTTTTAGATAAAAATCAATTTGGCTTTTTGTTTTCATCATAACAATAAATTATATTCAAAAAATAAAAAATAATAAAACACCTCTTTCACATTTGATCAATATTAGAAAGAGAACTGTTTTATATCGTAGTTAACTATACATCCAGTTCACGGGCTCAAATCTGACCACACCTGTCTGCATTGAATTTTCCACTAATCATTGTTCATAGTGCATGAAAAGTTTCCATTGTTATCTGGTCCTAGTTTGATTGGAAGCATGCATCAGACTTCATTTGTTTTGTAAATCGGTCAACCTGATTACTCAATTAGTCAAAAATCAATTTGGTTTATACTATCTTTTCAAGATCCACTACGTCACAAAACCAAAGAACCAGCATAAAAGAAATACTTTGAGAAGTGAATGATTTCGTCCATATTTAAAAGGGCATCCTCAGGCTGGTGTTCTAAAATTCGAATCGCACATTTTTGGAACTGATCATAAACTTTACATAGTCGTCAATGATTGGAGGATAGTTGATAGATGATGACTGGCAGAATGTGCCTCTGTTGAATTTATATTGATTTTCCACGGGTTCGGGATTGTGCTATCCTCTTTATAGTTGATGGTTTTTGACTTTTGGGCCGCCTCATAGATCTCCATTAACTCCAGATATCTGATATGTGATCTATTGATACTAGCTTTTCAACTGTAATTGATAAATTCCTCCCTTTTAAGAAAATCAACATTGAATAGTTTTCCACCGTATATAGGATGTGCAATAATCTTCACGAGATTTGGAACAAGTGGAAGTTCTCTGGCAACGTTTTTATCTATATATCCATTATATACTGAAAAAATTCTACGAAGCTTATAATATTGAATTATTTTAAATTATTTTCATCATATTATCGACAACTTTTTTTGGATCTCAAGACTTTTTAGAGTTTGTCTTTGAAAATTTTGATAAAAATGTCTCTTTATCCGGATTTATACAATACAGCTCTCCCTTGAAAGTCCGACGTTTTTTAATCCGACATGCTCAGTAGTCCAACGCACCTCCCGTCAAGGTACCCATCCCCGTTATGTGTCTGCTTGCACAGAAGCGTGTCACGACGTGAATCTCCCCATTCAATTCTTACATGATGACACATTTCATGTGTTTTCTGTGAGCAGTTCTGTTCAAACAGTTAGAGTAGGGAATATTGTAGGCTACTGCTAGCAAAACAATGCAAAATATGTAATTATTTTCGGTAATCCAACACCCCTTTGGTCCCACACCCTTAAGGGAGAGCTGTAATTAAAAAGTGTGTGATATTTTTTTACAATTTTAAAAAAATATTTACTTCTGTCTCACCAACTGTTTTTTATTCCCCTTTAAAACCTAGTATTCATGAAAACTCTCATACTTTCATATTCAATGAATTATCTGAAGCCAATACTAGCATTTCTTCACCCTTTCTGAGTCCTGATGTAATCCATCTCCTTTATATATATATATATATAAATTTGATATAAATGTCAGCTGTCATCTTATTACAAATATTTTCATTCTCAATCATTGGCATTCCTCATTACCAATTGCCTTTTTTTAAAAATAATCCAGACTCATTTACACAATTTTCCATTTCTTTAGCAATGTTAAAACTGTTTCAATCTTGTATGCTTCGTCATATATATTCTGCTATTTTCAGACTACCTCTTCAAAGTTAGTGGTCACACAATCTATAATTTTGAAACATTTAGAGCTTAAAACAGTTGCTTTTATTGCCTACATAAACCTAAAACAAGCTTTTGATTCAGTTTTTCTGAGCACCCTTTTAGAATCTTCAGTTCCAAATTTGATCTTGATCCAGTTTTCATTTTCTGACTGAAAAATTATTTTTTGTTTTATACAAACTCCCTTAAATATATGCAATAAAAAAGGAGCACTAACAAATGTTTTACTAGTATTCATTCCAAGGTCATTGCTTAGGGTCGTTATTAGTTAATTTAATGTTGTGTGAGAATCCAGAGGCTGTTTTTATATAAATTTTAATTAAACGTAAAGAGAAGCTTTATAAACTTTTCTCTTTTTCCGTCCGATTCCCACGGAGAAATAACAGGAGAATATTAAACATTAATGTAACTGTCAACAAGTCCTTTCCTCCCTCACATCAACCTGCAAAATTAGCGCAAATATGTTATAACAGTTGACTGTCAAATGTGAGAAAGTTGATAATTAACTTAGTCTAAGAAGGAAATCTATAAACAATCGCTACCCAAATAAACGGTCACATGATCAAATTCCCACATGGGATGCACATATAACAGCCAGACACCTATTAGTGAGGGTGGACATACTTAGAGGCCATAACTAATGGCTCGCCATATTGAAGGCGGACATACTAGGAAGAGCATACTCACCAACTTCTGTCCCGCCATAATTGTAGTCCCAAAGGATTACCTATATTTTTGTAATGATTTGTATAAGTGTTGGCCATGAATAACTTGGTGCCAAATCAACGGCCACTACTCCAACAAGAGGTATGATCATATCGATGTAAACTCTCTTGATCACTTAGCATTCGAATTAGGGCCAGTACATATCTAGTGTAATAATGCATATCTATAATTGTATCTATCACTTGTATATTGTATCTTATGTTTTATTTTTCTATTAAACTTGTTATTTAGTTAACCTGTCAACCTGTCATCATTCGAAGTAATGGACACCCTTTCAGCTTGCCTATGCAACTTCCCCACTCGAATTATAGCCTTCCTATTTTAAATAGCCATCCAGTAAAAATGTGGGCGGTCTTTGCCAGACCATCGCCGTTAAATGGGGTATAGAGTTTGACACTTTACCCCCTGGTTTCTCATAGTTGTCAACATATATCTTTACAAACAGACTTAAATATCCTAGTTGGGTCTCCAAAAAAAAAAAACCTTGTTGCTAATGCACATCAAATAGTTGTTATGCTCTTTTCTTTGGATTGAAATCCTAACACTCCAGATTATCAAAAGTTATAGTCTCTGATTTGGAAGTAATCTTCAATTCTACACTCGAATTTTTAATTTGTAAATGAAAATTATTAAGGGGCTGGCAATTTGTAGCAGCATGCTTTAGTAGTTTTGTAGGTTGATTTCTTTGCAGCTGGTTTTACACACTTTTTTTCTTTTTGCTAATTTTCTTTTTAATAGGCTTGCTAAACTGCGTACATTAACTCTGCAAGTGTGGCTCAGACTAGAGTGAAGTTTCCTGATTTATATAATTGAATAGCATACTTCAATCATATTTTATATTTTAAGTTTTTTAATGGTTTTTTTTTAATCTTCTGAAAGTGTTCATCTTTGTATTACTAGCCATAATATTTGTAATCCTTCCATTCAAAAGTGTTGATTAAATATAAATCAGTTGTCATTCTTTACATAGGCCTATGTGGTTACCTCAATGACTGATCTGAAAGATCTCCTTTGTTTTAAAAAAACATGTAAGAATTTTATATATTCTTACTGATTGTTCATCTATTGTTATGCTACTGTTTTGTAAATATATATGATATTTTTGTATGTATTGTTTATGCTACTTTATATTCTCTTACTGTTGTGTATTTGTATTGTTACATATTTTATTGGATAATTTTATTTTGTATTTTAATCTTGTGCTTTTTAACATCATTAGTTTGTATATTTAAAACATACAAAATAATGGCGTTAAACACAAATGTCTTCCAACCATAACACTGCATTGAGTAATAACTGTCCACAAAAAACCTTTATCAGTGTTGTGTTCGTTACAATATCCACTAACGTTTTCGACCTCCACCGAGGTCTTCTTCAGGTGCAGACTAAGTGTTGTTTCTCCTTGACTGTTAGAACGATGTCATCTGAGATGTATGGGGAGACAACACTTAGTGCACCTGAAGAAGACCTCGGTGGAGGTCGAAAACGTCAGTGGATATTGTAACAAACACAACACCGATAAAGGTTTTTTGTGGACAGTTAATGGTGTTAAAAACTAGCTAAAACAAAAAACATGTTTTATTATGTTTGTGTGTTTTAGCTGTTGCTGTTTTGTTTTCATCTAAGGGTTTATTATTGGGGGTTCTTTCATTAATTAGGAAAGAATGCATTATACTGTATAGAGAATCTTATTAATAATATTAAAAAATTTTTTAAAAATAAATGGTATTCCCCCCAGCCATAAACTTACTCAGATGCTATCCAACCATGGTGTTTTTCACTCTTACTTGAGTAGATTCAAATACCCTCACGACCCTAATTGTACTGTTTGTGGTACACCGGATGGCAATTTGCACTACATAATAGACTTGAGACTTGAAAGTAAAGTTGAGATAGCTGTCCTAGTTGGACTTAGCCATGTGAAAAGGGGAGGTAATAGAGGAATGAGTGAGGGGTAGAGTGGGGAATGGGAGGTAATGGGATAGAAGAGGGGAAAAAGAGGTAGAAAGTGGAGGTAGAGTTTGGGATCACAATCCTGATTAGCATCGCACTTACAAAAGAAAACAGTAGATGGTGCAAACAACTTACAGATTGCTTTTCCGGCTAGACGGTTACAATAGTAATTACAGAACATAGCGTACATGGCAGTGGCCTGTCGCCACTGGTAATCCCGACCGAAAAATACTACAGTACACTAAAACACAGGTATTACACAGATAGAATGTTACATAAAGGACAATGTTGCGATAACAGAAGACCAAGGTGACGAGACTGCTGATCGGAGCGAAGCACAGTGGGTCACAGGTGCAATCTATGTCCAGTACAAGAGACGCTACACGTGACACCATGGGAAACACCTACAGAGTGCAAGACCGCTGTTGCACAGAAGCAGGCAACGAAGACCAGTGGGCAAATTCACCAGTCAACCAACCAAAATGCTGGTGACGAGAGTGGCGATCCCACCGGCTGTCAGTACAGAGTGAGATAGCAGAGGGATCTTTGCATGTTGCTTCAGATGGAGTCTGAAGAACCGGTTAGGTTTGACGTAGGCCGGAATTATACTCGAAGCGACTACAAGAGTTTATGAATTTGGCAAACAGCTCAAAGATCTCCTGATCCTCGCAGAGAATGTTGGGTTCAGGAGGCCAACCGAATCCCTTCCGTAGACAGTGGTAGGTGAGTTCTTCTCGTTGTCTTTCGTACAGCGTACAGTGAAAGATGTAATGGAGGGCGTCTCCTTCAGAGACGCCATCACAACCGCACCTATCATTATTGATCCTTTTGAATCTAGTTAGGTAAGAGGGAAAGTTACCATGACCTGTCAAGCATTGCGTGATGGCATGAGAAATGGTGAAGTAGCTGAGAGCCTGCCTTTTATTAATCGACGGAAGAAACTTGTGGGTGGTTCTGCCAGTGGTTGAGGTAGCCCAATCCTTTTGCCACTCCTCCATTATACAGTCCCTGATGTTGTTCTTGATATGGACGATGGGAATATTAGAAAAAGTGGTGGTGATGTCCATTGTGGTGACCTTTTTAGCAAGGGCATCAGCGTGCTCATTGCCTTTATTACCCGTATGCCCAGGNGGAAATTTGCACTACATAATAGACTGTCCAATGATGGAATTGGAAAGATTTTCTCTCAAGATTATTCTGGAAGCACACGATGTGAACTGGCCTCCTCAAAATCTGGACTGCATTTTTGGACTGCATAAGGACTCATACGATGCCTTCATTCACCTAACTGACATGTACTTCAGAAGAACCACAGTCCCTTTCTACTGATGGACGTCTCTTCTTTATTTTGTAATCCAATCCTAAATTTGTACATACGCGTTTTCTTGTTCAGGTGCAGGTAGCACCTTTGCATGCCTCAAACTGTGGTATGCCTCTTGTATATTCCAATTGTTTATTTTATTGTATTCCTCATTATATTGTATTTTCAACCTTATTTCTGATCCCACCCGGTTATGTTTCACAGCACCAGGATGTACTATGTATATTTTTATTTTAATAAATAACTGAACTGAACTGAACTGTATAGAGAATCTTTACAAATCTTTTCATTCTTAATCATTCCTGAATATAATCTGCATTGCTTGTTTGATAATTTTAATGATTAATAAATATATTAACTTCATTGTAAACATAAAATAATTTTTATATTTACAACACAGATATATTTAGTATCTTTAATATATTTGTTTTTTTTCAATCTTCATTATATTTAATTTTACTTAGAACAATGAATAATTTTAAATCTTATTAAGATTTAAAATTATTCATTGTTCTAAAATTCATTGTTCTATGTATATAAAATTTTAAACATACATTTCCTTTATGCAGCTCAATACCAAAAATTGATCCTTTAGAATTATCACTCAGACTTAATAAAATTCCGTTGTTCTTAGTTGTTTTAAATAATAACTGAATTTCCAAACTTGATCCAAGGTTGAATTTATTATCTACAAAAGAATTAAAAATACATATTTAAATTAAATTATACATTAAATTAAAGATCACTAATAAGAATTAGAATATTAATTTAATTATAAGAGTGAAATAAATAAAAAATGAATTAAATATTTGAAAATTTTGAAGAAATACAAAAAATTAAAGTAAAATTTAAATATAAAGTTATTACCTAATGTATTATTTCAGAGTTTGTATTTCTCACTCTTTCAAATTCTCAAAATAAAATGCTTTTATGGATTAAATAAAAATTTATTTACAACATTTTATAAACAAAAATTGTATATTTATGAAAAAATAAATGCATGAAGTCAAACAATTTAAAATGAAACTAGTGCGACATTGAGATATAGCAACTGAATTTAATCATTATTATACAGTTAATCAATGTTTTCGCATGAAATTTTGGATTACTTAAAATTTAAATTTTAAAAAATTAACATTTTGAATGAAATGTTAACAATGTTTTAAGTAAAAGAAATCTGAATGTTGAAAGAAAGAGAGAGAAAGATATATGAGCCATTCACAGGCCAAATTGACTAATTCCATTTGTAAATCCTTAATATAATCATTATTATTTTCAAATTTTTCGCGTAACTAATTTTATATATCGTTATATTAAAGCATCTGCAATGTTTACTTAAATTTAAAGTTTAAAGGGAATTTTAAAAAATAATTTATATTATCAATTTTTATACTTTTTGTTTTGTGGAATTAATTGATTTGGCTTATATATTACAAGAAAATTATTTAATACATGCAAATAATTAATACAAAATCACTGGGTAATAATTACAATTATATTTATGTACTATATGTACACAGTAACTTGAGCTCCCAAGAGAATGCATGATGTAGTGAATGAGCTCTTCAATGGTGCACTGTGGGTAGGTTAGACAGAATTGTGGACAAGTTTTGCAAACATAGGAAAGTGGCATCATTGAAGAAATTTAAAGTCATTCATAATGAAGGCAGAAATATTAAAAATGTGATATATCTGTTTGAAGACACTTCTTTGTCTCAAAATAATAAATATTCAGTTACACAAACATGTTAAACTGTTTTTTGAATTGTGTTCACATAAATTACCTCAAATGCATAGTGGAATGATCTGTATCTGTTAGAAAGTTTTAAGATGGTTACATCACCAGACATCAAGTTACTTCATGCATACAGTAAAATATTTCTTTTTTTAAACATGTAATATTATGAGGATTTAAACTGAAACATCAGTTTATATACTCAATGAGAGATGATCTGTCTCTTCAACTACTGTTATAGTATTTTTATACACATAATCCATGGGTTATCTGTGTTTAAAAGACAATTTGAAGGGGATGAAGTCTATGCTATGCAATTAGTTATAAACCAATTTTAAATTATAATTATGAACTAAAGCATACAGAACAATGGTTGTTAAATAGGTGTGTGATATACAGTGGTATAAATGAGTTTTATGGGTTTTAATGGGTGAAGGTTTTATTTTTGTTCTAGCAATTTTATGCAAGTTATACACTACTGCAGGTAGTGCACATCATTATGAGTTGTAAGTATATATAATGCAATATATTTATTCCAATCTAGTGTAATATTAAAAAGTAACATACTCTATCTTGCAGCATTAAAATCTACATTTTATTCAAAGTTTCTAGTACTTTCAATAGTTTACAACATGTTTATCTAGTATATGTTACTTTTTAACATTAAACTAGATAAAACATTTGGCATGAAGTGCATTTAATATTCTTTTTTATTCCTATAATAAATAATAATATCCGAATCCATCAATAAAACTTAAAATAAGGGATATTACACAGTCTTTTTGGGATTAAATAACTTTTGAAGGCATGCAAATGCAGAATTAGCCTGATGTTTATATAATAAATCAGTGATCACTTCAATGATAATGGCCTAGTTTGTGGATGTTAGACCATCATTAGGTTTTTAAATATTAAAGACAGAAAATTGTACTACATTTTAATTTAAATTTTTTCTAATAGATTTCATTTATAAGTTTCATTCATTTTTTTTTTAATAGAAAAAGGACTCTACTTTTATCCCTTTTAATATGATGATATATTCTTCTGCTTATTCTAATTTGTTATTTTATATCTAACAACTTTCAAAGTAATATCTTTAAAAATAGTCAGAAATTTTGATTATTACAATATTTGTTTATTTATTTATTTTTATCCTATTTTCTTTAATAACAGAACATTATTTATCATTCTTGTTTTATGTCCTATAATTAAAATCTGTTTCAAAACTGCAGTTTTTCTTAATTCTGTATATATATATAAAAATATACCGTGAAAATATATATTACAAATTAATTTATATAGTCTTATTTACCATATAATGCATAAGCATCTCCACCAAAATATGCTCCTAGTTCTATATGAGAAAAACAATGCCCTATGTTGACTGATTCTTCAACAGAAGGATCTACATATCTTCCATTAATATTAAATTTTCTTATGCATCCTTTAAAACCTTTAGATTTCTAAAATTTAAAATATTATTATTAAAAAAAAATTTAAAATTATATTAAAATTTCATTCTACAGAAGATCATAATAGTCTATATAAATTTTATAATATTAATAATAAATTCAATTCTTTAATTTAAATTTAATTAAAGAAATCAAATAAAAAAGCATTAAATTTAAATATAATATAATCCCTTTTAATCATTTTCAAACATTATTGAAAGGATTACATTTTCATTGATGACAAAATTAGAATAACAATCCATATCTGCAAAAATGTTAAAAATGCAAAACCAGTCATACAAGCACTCAACATGGTAAAGCTAACACAATAATGAATAAAACCATGAAAATTCATTCCTTTATTGTTCATTATCCTGACAAATACAACAGTGGCAATAAAGATAAGACTGGAATAAACTGAAAGAGCAAAAGATTAGTGTCAGTGAACAAACCATCTAGATACTGTGTTCATCAAACAGGTAAATTTAATAATCTATAAGATCAAAATGGCCAAAACATAGGCTAAATCAAAACTTTAGACAAGCTGGGGTGTATGGATCCGGAAAATGAGAACAAAATGCCCTCCCAAATTCAGACAAACTAGTAGTGGAAATTTGAGAAAAAAAAATTCAGACAGAGAAAGCAAAAATGTTAACAAATTATCAGTAATAGTAAATTAAAAATTAGTCCTTGTATTTTTATTTGTGTAAAATTTTGGTAAGTCAACCCCTCTGTCTCCTCAATTAAAGTGTTTTTCTTCTTGGGCTCATATAGACAAGAATCATCTTTCAGATAGTAGAGAGGTTGTGGCCAAAGTTATCATCTCTAAAATGTGAATTTCAAATGTCTAGCACCACCATCTTAAAAGACAAAGTTTGACAATGATGTTTGGAACGTTGAACACAGCGAGTAGAAGTTAAGCTTAAAAGCCTGCAATTTTCTGTTTAGGGTTATAATTATGACATATTTTATTAAAATAATGATTATTTAAGCATTTATGAATAACATTTTAGAAAAACAGATGATTTTAATCCAGAAATTATTTAATTATTCAATTTTTTTTACAAGTGATGTGCAGTGCCTATAGAGTTTTTATAGTTGTATTCATAATAGCTTATCACAATACTGTAGAAGTAGGTTTGTTCTTTCATGGTATCTTCTACGTAGCATCAACAGCATAATTTGTTTGTAAAGTTCTAGAAATAATTTTTCAAGCTTCTTTCAGGTCGTCATCTTCATATGGATTTATAGCCATTATTTCTCTCAACATGGTAGGAATCACAACACTAATTAAAGCTAAAAATTATTATTTAGTGTTTTTAAACAACCTATAAATATTTTAAAATAGTTTAATTTGCTTTTTACCTTCACTGGTTACCTTCATTGTTCTTGAGTGCATCTGCCATATTACAATAATATTGTACATTGTGTGATGTAAACATGTACCACAATGTGTTTTGCTTGTAGTTCAGATGTCAGACGTATACTTCTGTTTGCTGCACAAGTGTGAAAGTTTCAACTGGGTCACAACCTTTGTAGTATATGTTGAAAGATTAAAATCATCTAGTGATGATGGATACTTTTGATGAAAATCAAAAGGCTGCCATTCAGTTTAGTACATATGACTGAAGGATTTACTACTGTAATTCCTATTATTTGGTGGCAATCATAAAAGAATGCTTGCACATAAAATAATAATTTAAATATTTTCAAATGAAATACATGCATCATTCTTAAAATTACTTTAAACCAATAAATTGAATTATTTTTATCAAAAAGTATACTTAATGCATATTAGGAAAGATGAAGCTTCGTTTAAAACATAATGAAGTAAGGTTGGTAAAATGAAAAAAATTAGAAATACAGCAATTTAAGCTGTGTTCAAACTACTGATAAAAACAACAAAAACCAATCTTTTTTTTGGTCGTCTTTGTCCATAAAATGTTCACACTAGTCATTATTCTTGCATTTTCATCTTAGTCATTCATTGTTCAAAAGTTATCCAAGATTCAACATTTGTTGTTGTCATAATGGTATTGGCCAATCAGCACAAATGTCCCACAATTTTGTTTGAAAAAGATGGAGGAACAGCTAATCTCATGTGTTGAAGAAAGACCTTGGCTCTCTGACATATCCAGAAATGTATAATAAATTTAGCTGTCAATTAATATTTCCAAATTATAACACGATTATTTACGGCAATTGTGGGTATCTATTCAATATTGTAGAATTAATATTCTACTCTGTATATCCATTTTTAAATAAAGATAAGTCTGGTTTCAAAATGCAGAAATTTACAGAATAATGTTAAGCTTAATGTAAACTGCACATGCTCTAACACAAAAACTAATGAACAATATGAACATTTTGGGTGATGAATAAATATGACAAAAAAGACACACTTTCATTATCATTTAGGATCTGTGGTCATTGTTGTCAGCAGTACTGTGAAGTTCGAAGCAATGTATATGTGGTTCCACGAACAGAAATACATAAAAGAAATTCAATACAGTAAAGTCTGTAATACAAATCAATTTTATTTGCCTCGAATAGGTTCAAATAATAACGATTCCAACTCACAGGCATTAATTAAGTGTATACAACAATCAAATGTTCCTTTATATGATTGAGCTGACCAAAATGCGACAATATTAGCATGAGGACTTATAACTATGACTTAACCTAAATATAAACTAAGAAGGTGAAAAAGAATAGATAGTAAAAATAGGAGAATGGGAAGAAAGAAACATCTGGGGATTTTTTAGTCACATGTCTCAGATGGGCCACCGTTATTCTATCGATTCCTGCACTTATCTGTATTGTTCTTCCTTACTGTACCAATCCACCTTCCTTTGAAAGTTTCCTTATAATTGCTTCACTCCAGATTCCTTAATGAGAAAATATTAGCTTTTGGAAAAATCTTCTCTGAATTTCACTCTTTATATTACAATTCAGGAGCACTACAAAAACTGACTCAACTCTATCGGATTGGGTTCTCTAGCTCTTTTCATAAGTCTTTGTCACCTCTGATCTCTAACTAAGACCACAACTCTTCGATGCTTCCTCTCGCCTCAAGATCTTGACCAAAACTGAGCTTTTTCACTCTTTCAAACCCCTGGGTTTCATTACCTCCTTTGTCTACTACCTCCATTCTGAGAATCGGTGATCCCACCCGAGGAGAAAAGGATTAAGAAAGAAAGTTCTAGAATAGTGAAGACAAAGAACAAAGAAAACACTAAGCCTAAAATATACAATATATACAAAAACTATACATTAATATGGCTGACAGCCACAGTACAAGCCTTACAATAAACTATGTTCTTTCTTGAAGCACTGAAATTAAATCAAGATGGAAACAATGTCCAATATTTTCATGCAAAAGATTCATTTCTGTAATTTTATTTACAAAATATTTAACTTTTTCTGGTATCATGAATAACCTAAAATAAATATTGGAATACTAAAAATCACTAAATAATAATAGTAGGTTGCATTTAAGACATTTCTAAGTCCTCCATTCTTGTTTACTGTCTTTTGTCCATTCTATTAATACAAGAAGTTTTCACTTGTTCTGATACATTTTTAAGATATTTTGCATTTTAAGACAAATTTCTAATCAATAACTTTATATTAATTAAATGTTACACTTAAAAAACTATTAATAAGTAAAAATAAATATAAATTAAAATCTTAAACTCTAGGTTTGCCAATTTATAGAACACTTCTATCTATATGTTGCATTCATTGTTTAGATCATATACATCAGGGATGGGCAACCTGCGGCCCTCGAGTTGCATGCGTCCTGTGTCTCATAAAATATGAATAAATGCATTAATTTCCCAGTTTAAGGAAGTATGCAGCAAAAATTCAAATGTTATTTTCTTATGTATGTGAATAGTTTTTCTGCAATGAATTTAGTAAAAATTAAAACAAGAAACCAGCTAACAGACACATTGAAACTAATTTAAAACTAGCAGTGACTAATATTTAACCAAATAATCTGATATATTATGCTTACGTTTTATCAGTTCCAGAAGCTAAATTAAGTATACCCATGCTAATTTATAATTATATATGAATAAGTTATTGTGATTTACTGACATTTTTTCTTCTCTTTTCTCTTATATGCAAACCACATCAGTTCAAAAGTCTTGAAATGTGGCCCTTACATAGGAAAAGGTTGCCCATCCCTGATATACATTATAAGAAAAAAGGCAAGCATTTGAATTATCACACTATATTTGATCTTTAAGAACACGATAACATTAATTTAAAAATATGATTAAAATTAAATATCAAATTGAGAGTAAATTTTGTAAATTTAGATTAAAAAGTTAAAAATCTCACCATTGAATGATTGAATAATAAATCTGTTGGAATTCCACCCAAATATAAAGGACTCCTTAATGCTAATTTTCTTCGAACTTTTATATGAAAGATTTTGTTTTCATCAACAGAAAGTGTCAAATTTCTATTAATTTTAGTTACTGTTACCTATTTGCAAAATAATAAGTAAGAGTAATATTACAAGAATCTTCTTTTTCAACTAAAACTTTTATTTAATATTTAGATTAAAAGTTTAATAAAGATTAATATAAATAATTATAATTTAAAATGTTTATTTTAAATTTATATGTTATCATTATTTCAGAAGATAAATAAGAGGCAAAATAGAATGTCAAATGCATTATTCATCCTAAAATAAATAATTAAGTTTAAAATTACATATTTATAGATTTTAACCTCATTTCTCATTCTGTTTTCTAATCAAACGTGACCAAAAAAAAACCCATGAATTTCCTTTTTTACTAATACTGAAGACTTCCGTCGAGATGAAACTCATTTAAAAAGTAGATTATAACAATGATCTTACCATTATTAACTTGTTTTAATTTATATCATTATCAACAAATTTAATTAAACCTATCTATTTTTCAAACTCGATATTTTTGTTATCAATATAAAACATGGAAAGAACTAATTACACAATGCAATTTCTTTTAAAACAATTAAGTTACACTAACTTTCCATAGAAATATCTATTCATTTTAGTAATCCTACTGCTATTCTAATGATTATTATTATTGCAATTTTCAAAAATTGTAGATCTATAATTTCCCACTGGTGTTCGTCTATCTGTCTGTCCTTTCTTAATCTAGATTAGTGGTATGCAAACCATGCACCACTACTCTAGATTACTTTTTACTTTTTTAAATTTAGCGACTCCCGAAAAATTTATTTGACAACAAAAAATATAAGTCTTTTCTTCAACGAGTATCATGTACCAGTAAAATAATGAAATGANACATGTAAAAGTGATAAAAATTTTAGAGATTTTATGTTTAAAAATCTGTCAATATAATTATAATTAAATATAGCTTTGTAAAGAAACATACATAAAAATAACATCAAATATGCTTTACTTTTAAATCTTAAAACAATCCACTTAGTCAAATAGCTCCTTATGAGTGGCTAAAGGATGGAATCATTGGAAGCATTATGATACTTTGGTGTGTAGCATCCATGAGAGGTTGGTGCTCTGTAAAGCACATGCACGAATGCCTGTAATCTGGCTGCTTTACACTACTGGTGCACAAACTATGGGTCACAACCCCTCTGGGAGTCACAAGAAAAATTTTCACAGTTGCCAAATTCAAAGAAATTTCTTTGACAAGAAAAAATATGTCTTTTCTTCAACAAGTATCAGGTACCAGTAAAATAATGAAATGAAATTATATTTATTTTATTTAATTACATTTAAATTATAGAAATCCCAGAAAGAATTTCACTTTAACTATGTTAACAATTAAAAAAACGTCTACTGTTTATCCAGGGGTCATAACAAAATTTTACACAAAATGGGGGGTTGGAAATGAAAATAGTTTGCACACCACTAATCTAGAAAATGGAGTTAGATAGATAAAAGTCCAGACCAGATATAGAAAGCTTAGGGGCAAGAAGCCCCTATTAACTATATACAAACTTCTGGTTAGGATCAGAAGTCATGTTACTTCAATTCGAAAATTTTCTCCTGAATGGAGTTAGATAGATGACTGCATGACTCTGTTGTTAACAGAAAAAGTATGATATACAGAGGAAAGACACTACTAAATATGAGATCATTATGACAAAAAATAGCAGCCCGGCAGTTTGACAAAGTAAATAGGATAATATATTTTATACTGGTTCATTATTAATATCTTTCTTTTAGCTGTTTAGAGATCTGGAATTGTGAAGAGTTTAAGATTACTAAAAAAATTTATTTTTGTGCATTAAATGATTACTTTTTCCAAAAGTGTATGAAAAATTCAAAAATTATTTTACTTTTTGGATTATAAGTTCAACTGAACTCAATGGCTAACCTTCACAAATTTTATTTTTCATTGGAATTTTTCATATTGGAAAATTTTGAATAAAATATAATCCATCAATTAAAATAAAATATATATATATATGTATTGATCACTGGAGACAATTGAAAAACAATTGTCACTTATGGAGACAACCTTATACTTGAGGCTGTACCTCCACAAAAAATTGTAAAATAGATAAAAATGTCCTCTGGAAATGATGCAAATGCTATAATTCACATTAGTTCATTAAAATTAAAAACTGTAAGTGAGAATTGTTTTCAGATTGTTGCTAGTGATTGTAACTGATAAAAGATAAAGACAATTTTGCAGCTTTAATATATATATATATATATA